TAAAAGGGTGGGGAAAGAGGAAGGTGGAGGCAATGCAGAGAGTTCTGTAGATTTGACTGTGTATAATGGTTCCTATTTTATCAATGAGGGTGACACGAGGTCATCAGCTAGGAGTATCATAGGAAGGAGTATCATGAGGGAGAGCATAGATGGTGGGGGGAGAAGGGAGGCTTCCAATGGTGACTTTGGAGGTGATATGGTTTCTGGTTATGATTTAGCTTCAGGATACACTTAAAGGAGAAAGGGGCTGAGGTGGAGTGTTTCTCTAGTTTGTTAATTCATTTATTTGTTTAATAAACCTTGACTGAGCACTAGGCACACAGGTGGCACGAAGGAAGAAGTGATCCACTCAGCCAGGGTGCCAAGAGAGAGGTTCCTGGAGGAAGTGGTTCTTGTGTAGCTTGAATCTGGAAGGATGAATTGAAGCTCTCCAGGGAGATGAAATGGGGCACTTGGTTGTCCAGTGGTAGAATTCTCGCCTTCTATGCAGGAGACTTGGGTTCAGTTCTTGGCCAATGCACATCCTGTGAAGCTACCACCTGTCCGTCAGTGGAGGCTTACATGTTGCTATGATGCTGAATAGGTTTCAGCAGAGCTTCCAAACTAAGACTAGGAAGAAAGGCCTAGTGATCTACTGAAAATCAACAAATGAAAACCCTATGGCTCACAACAGTCCAATCAGGCAGTGTTGTGGTCAGTGTTTTGTTCCATTGTGTATCGGGTCACCGTGAGTTGGGGGCCAACTCAACAGCAGCTAACAATAAAAGAGAAACAAAGAAAAGGATGCTCCAGGAGGTGTGCAGACCACAAGCAAAGGCATGGAGGTGGGAAACAACTTGGCCCACTTGTGAAAATGAAAGTCACAAGGCCAGAAGGTGGATGTGTGGGGGGAAGGGGTGGGTGATGAGGTAGGGATCAGATCATGGAAGACTTAGGGGCCATATTGAGGGGTTTGGACTTACTATTAAGCAGTGGAAAGCCACTGGATTTAAGCAGGAGGGTGATATGATCTGATTTGTGATTTTAGAAATGTAGAGAGTGGGCTGGAGAGGAGCCAGGCAGGAGGCAGGGAGGAGGTGGAGGTTATTTGAATAGAGTAGGTGAGGGTGAAGGAAGGCAGCAATAGCCGTGGAGGATGGAGAGGATGGGGTGGATGCTGGGGAGGGTGAATCAGCGGACTGGGTAGCTGACTAGATGTAGCACTCCAGGTGCTTTCAGCAGCCGGCAACCACAACTGTGCCTCAAATGACCCAAGCAACAAGGACATTTATTCCTGCACAGAATAAGAAGTCCAGATGTGAAATGGCTTCAGGGTTGGTGAAGATGGTAGTAAAGGGGAATTCTGAGTGAAGAACACATTTTGAAGGGAGACATGAGGAGTCCTATTTAGGGTCAGCTGGGGAACAGCGGAGTCCCCAGGTGTTGCAAATGGTTATGTGCTCAACTGCTAACCGAAAGGCTGGAGATTCGAGTTCACTGAGAAACGCCTCAGAAGAAAAAGGCTTGGCAATCTACTCCGAAAAATCTGCCATTGAAAACTCTGTGGAGTATAGTTCTACTCTGCCACACATGGGGTCACCATGAGTCAGAGTTGACTCGATGGTAACTGGTTTTTTTCTGGGGAACAGCGGGAGGAGGGGCCAAGTTGGCTGTGGCATGTGTGAGTCTGGAGCCCAGGGGAGGCCCAGGCTTGAGGGAGAACTGGGAACATGTGTCAACACACCAGGCACTGAATCCAGTGGTGGCCCTGAGCAGTAAGGGTGCCAGGTGAGTCAGACATCAACAGATAATCACACTAGTAGGGCATTAATTACTGGTGTAGTAAGAGCTGTGAAGTCTGTGGCCTCACCTAAAAGGGGGCCCTGACTTGACCAGGCTGGGGCCATCAGGGAAATGGGAACAGATGTGGCAGTGCCATACAGACCACAGAAAGGAGTGGAGGGTGGACGTTCCCGTGGCAGGGAGAAGGATGGACAGGGAGAGGGTACGTGCTGTAAAAAGAATGCAGGGCTGCAAACCAGACCCCGGAGAACAAGTGTTTCCAAGGGTCAGGGAAGGAGGAGCACGCAGGGCCGAGATGGAAAGAGAATGGCCAGAGGGGTAGGCCACACTCTTCCTTCAAGAAGAAAGTCCGTGAGTAGTGTGAGATGTGAACAGAGGACCAGGAAGGCCAGCTGAGAAGACGCCCCTGGGTCTGTCCACGGGGGCCACTGGTGTCTTAGGTGAGGGTAGTTTCTAAAGAACACTGGGGGTTGGGAGCCAGACTGTGCATCCCTGGTATTTTGTGGTCCCACTTGGGCTCCTGTGAAGGGGAAACTGGGTGGTACCCAGGTCAGAGGGTTGTTGACAAGCGGAATTGTGAATGGAGTGGGTGGACAGCAGCCTTGGTGTCCCTTCAAGGCCATCTTTTGGTGTCTTCTGTTTGGTGACAAGTGAGCTTAAGGGTCAAGTAAAGCTGTGCAGGGGTGTTGGTCATGGGAATGAAGGTGGTGAGGTGATGACAGGGCTGTGGTGAGTGGTGGGGGTACAACTGTGAGGGTCTGTGTGAGTGGTGGTTTCAGGCTGGCGACTGTGTGTTGTGTGTATCGTGTGGTATGTGTGTTTTGGTGTATTGTGTTTGTGTGTGTTGTGTGTGTTTTTTGTGTAGTATGTGTGTTGTGTTCTGTATGGGTGTGTTGTGTACGTGCTGTGGTATGTTGTGTGTGATGTGTTTGTGTGATGTGTTTGTGTGTTTTGTGTGGTGTATGTGTTGTGTTTGTTGTGTGAGTGTAATGTGTATGTATCATATTTGTTTGTTGTGTGTTTGTGTGTTGTGTATGTATGTGTTGGGTGTGTATGTGTTATGTTTGTTGTGTGTATTGTGTTTGTTGCATGTGTTGTGCATGTTGTGTGTTGTGTGTGGTGTATGTTTGTGGTGTGTGTTCTGTTTGTTATGTGTGGTGTGTGTTGTTCGTTGTGTGGGGTGTGTTGTTTGTTGTGTGTGGTGTTGTTTGTTGCGTGTGGTGTGTGTTATTTGTGTGTGTTGTGTGTGGTATGTGTTGTTTGTTGCGTGTGGTATTTGTGTGTTGTGTGTGTGTGTTGTGTTTGTGTGGTGTAGGGGGTGCTCCCACGCACACGGTGGGGCCAATGAGCAGCTGAGGGACAGGGTCAGCAGAATGAGCAGAGTCATCCCTGTGGAAATGCGACTCCTTGACTCCTCGGTTGATGGTAGGGAGCAGCTGGGGAGCAGGCACGGGTGGGAGTGGCCAGCTCTGCCCAATGGCTCCTGCCTCTCCCTGGGCCGCCCTTCCCACCTGTTGGCCAAGCCTGAGAAAGTGCCCATGGTGGCTGGGGCAGGGGCACTTCTCTGGGCATCTGGGCCTGCTGTGAGGGGGCTGCCCCCTGGGTATAGCTGTGGGAGGCTCTGGGGGGTCTTTCCACGCCCTGTGGGAGAGGGGTGGCTCTGCGGGGATCTGTCTGCGTGGGTCTTGCAGTAGCTGCATGTGACAGGGCTGCAGTGATCTCCCTGTGCTTACCTGCTGATGTGGGCCATTCCTCCCAGGCCATTTGTGATACGTGTGACCACCACCTCCCTTCCACAGACAGGTGGCTTAGAAGGCTGGGCAGAAGGGGAGAGGGGCTGGGAGAGGCCTAGGGACTGACCCAGGAGACACAGCTGACAGTCCTCACAGACTCAAAGGCTCCTGGTGGGTGCCCCCTCCCCTGTCCAGTTCATGCAGGACCACCCACTAGAAGCGGGCACCTGGGGCTCTGGCCCTGCCCCCACCATTGGAATTGTCCATCTTCTTGCCCCCCACCCCTTCTGTGTCAGCTTCTGGAGGCTCTCCTGACCTGCCCCCCAACCCACACCCTGCATCCTCCTCTTCCAGCTCTCCCTGCCCACCAGTGGTTAGATCCCACAGTCCCTGCCAGAGGGAGCTGTTGGGAACCTCTGCAGGGCCCAGGGCCCTCCCATCTTCCCACTCCCAGCCCAACACCAAGTTTCCCTAAAGCTCAGGAAAGGGGACCTTACACCCCAGAGGCATAGTGAGTGGAGGAGGGAGAAGGTGTCACTTGCCCCCTGGCATAACTCTAAGGGGGCGCCAGACAAGGTGCAGAATGACATTCTGAGGCACCATAAATATGAAAGGCGCCAGACTAAGGCAGCCAGACAAGAGAGGGGAAGGCATTTCTACTGATGTGTCGCAGCTATCAACGTCAATTCATCTTGAAATTGGGTGGTGAGGTGCAACTTAGAGATTGCCCCTGGGTACTCATAACCCTTGCTACATCTTCCTTTTCCCTTCCCTCCAACCCAGGGACAGCCTATACAAGCAGATGTGTCATATTCTTCTTTCCCATGCCCCTGGCAGACATCACTAATCAATCACAGCAGTCTTTTCCGCTGGGTCTGGATGCAAGCAATGGTTTCCACCCAGAGCTCCAGGCAGCCAGTTATCAGCCAATCCAAGTTGGCCCTCAAGATGAAATCCATTTGCCATCCCTGCCTTAAGATGTTCCCCAGGCCCTTCATTTCACTCCTAACTCCCTTCCTCCTGCCTGCTGGGTAGGGGTCACTGTGGGCACAGCTAGCTGTGGTTCTCTCTCTGTCTCAGCAGGCTGAAGCCACGCAGTTCCCGGAGTCTGGGCCAAGGAGGTGGTTGAAGACACTGGGGCTTTGGCCCCAAGTCCACAAGGCCAAAGACGCTCTAGCTTGGTTTGCTGTCAGTCCTGAGGGCAGCCGACCCCGCTGCTGGGGACAGTGAAGTGTGGAGCCCGGGGTGGGGGGATGCTCTTGTGTCCAGCACCTGAGCAGCAGCAGCAACCCCGCCCTGCAGGCCCCCTCAGACTCCAGGCAGGGCCTGCACACCGGCCTCCCCGGCCTGGTCCCTGGGCAGGCAGGAGGTGAATAGCAGACAGCAGGCCCAGGGCGGTGTGGCCACCCAGCACACCAGGCGCTGCAAGCTGCAGCTGCCCCGGCTGCCTGCTGCCCACCTGGCCCCTGAGCCCAGGATGCAAAGATGGCCAGGATGTCTCTGCCTACCCTGGTGCCTCTGGGCCCCGACTGCCTGCGCCCCTTCACCCGGGAGTCCCTGGCTGTCATAGAACAGCGGGCCGCAGAGGAGGAGGCCCGGCGGCTGCGCAACAAGCAGATGGAGATCGAGGATGCTGAGCACAAGCCGCGCAGTGACCTGGAGGCCGGCAAGAACCTGCCTCTCATCTATGGGGACCCCCCACCAGAGGTCATCGGCATCCCCCTGGAGGACCTGGACCCCTACTACTGCGACAAGAAGGTCCGGGCCTGGGCGGGCTCCCTCTGTCTGTGTTCATCTGTCTGTCTGTCCCTAGGCCTCATGAGCTCTCTCCCTGCCACAGACCTTCATCGTGCTCAACAAGGGCAAGGCCATCTTCCGCTTCTCCGCCACGCCTGCTCTCTACATGCTGAACCCCTTCAGCATCATCAGGCGTGGTGCCATCAAGGTGCTCATCCACTCATATCCTGCCTGAGTGGGGCAAGTGCAGGGTAGGGCAGGGGGGCAGGGGTGGGCAAAGCAAGGTGCTCTGTCCACCTCCCCTTCCCAGCTGCTCCCTCACTTTCCTTGACCCTCCCCTCAACGCTGTTCAGCATGTTCATCATGATCACCATCTTGAGCAACTGTGTGTTCATGACCATGAGCGACCCACCTCCCTGGTCCAAGAACGTGGAGTAAGTACCCCCCACCCCCACCTCGAGCATCCCAGCCATGGGACATAGCCCTTCCCGAGTGTCTGCACTTCTGACGATGTTCAGAGTGACACTGCCCTTCTCTTCCAAGGTGATACACGCTGTCACTCCCATCAATGTCTTAAGCCCCCAGGGTGACATACATTGTCACCTCCATCAATGTCCTCAGCCCCGAGTGGCACATTTCACTTCCGGGAGGTCCACCCCGCCACACATGCCTGCACCTGGGTGTGACATGCCTGGCCGGCCCTCTCCTGCCAGGTATACCTTCACAGGAATCTATACCTTCGAGTCCCTCATCAAGATACTGGCCCAAGGCTTCTGCATTGACGACTTCACATTCCTCCGGGACCCCTGGAACTGGCTGGACTTCAGCGTCATTGTGATGGCGTGAGCAGGGGACCAGGATATCCTGAGGCTGGAGTGGGCGAGGGAAGGAGGCGGCTGATTGGGCTGACCCTCACAGCGGGGTGGGCTGCAGGGGCTCCCTGACCAGCAGTGCAGATTGTGAGCTGTGCAATTCTAGCAGCTGCCATTCCAGGCTCTAGCTTTGAGACTCTCCTGATGTCCCCTTCTTGTACAACCGCGTGCAGCAGCCTAATCCACAGTCCCAGGCCCCTCACCTACTGGGAAAGCTGGGCTAGCCTTGCCACCTCCATCCACCAGCAGCAAAGCTCCTGCACTGTCTTTCCCACTCTCGGGCCTCAATAGGAATGTTGGGGTGTCTGGACTGCCCCCTAGCACCCGGTGGTGACCCCAACTACAAGGATTCCTGGGCCTGGAGAAACCCTGATTTCTGCTCTACCACCCACCCCAGCTCTGACACAGCCCCCACCCCAACCCCTCCACCCAGGTACCTCACAGAGTTTGTGGACTTGGGCAACATCTCAGCCCTGAGGACCTTCCGAGTGCTGCGGGCCCTGAAAACCATCACGGTCATTCCAGGTACTGGGGCAGTGCAGGGACCCTCTGCCTAGGCCAGTGGGCTGCCCCATGCTCAGGCAGGAGCCTGACACTCACATTCCAGGAGGCTGACCCAGGATCACAACACACCAAGGTCTGGACACAGACAGGCCCCATGGCCAGAGAGGAGAAGGGGCCCAGGCAGGAAGATAGCCTAGCAAGGTGGTTATGAGCACAGACTCTGGGCTGCCTGGGTTCGAGTCTCGCCTGACCTTGGGCAAGTGGTTTGTGCCTCAGTTTCCTTATCTGTAAAAGGTGGATAATAATATACCCATTGATTGGGTTGTTTAGAGAGTTCAGTGCCTTAATAGCTATAAGGTGCTTAGAACAGTGCCTGCCACATGGTCTGTGATATGTGTTGCTGTTGTTGTTGTTGGGTGCCATCAAGTCGGTTCTGTAGGACAGAGTAGAACTGCCCCATAGGGTTTCCAAGGAACAGCTGTTGGATTTGAACTGCCAACCTTTTGGTTAGCAGCCGAGCTCTTTACCACTATGCCACCAGGGCTCCCTGTGATATGTACATTTGTGTTAAATAAAATAAGCAACGGGGCAGAGCAGAGGCCTCCACCTGAGAGAGAGACACACAGGGAATGGATGATGGAATGTCCCAGCCCTCAGGGCTCAGTTAGGAACACACACACCCGCTGAGCAAGGAGGCCAGGGCAATTCCAAAGAAATGCATCAGGAAGCACAAAATAAATAGAATCTGGATCATCTAGACCCTCAAAAAAGCCTGTGGAAAAATTAGAGATGCCTCAGTCAAGGGAGAGAAAGGCGATATGATAATGGATGGAGAAGAGGATTCTAGGAGAAGGGGAAATTGTTAAATCTTAATGCTAGGAAGTACCACAGCAGTTATCAGTTGCCAGTGAGCCAATCCCAACTCATGGCGACCCCATGTGTGTCAGAGTAGACCTGTGCTCCACAGGGTTTTCAATAGCTGGTTTTTCAGAAGTAAATCACCAAGCCTTTCTTCTGAGGCACCTCTGGGTGGAGTCAAACCTCCATCCTTTCAGTTAGCAGTCAAGTGTGATAAACATTCGCACCACCCAGGGACTCCAAAAAGTACCCTAGGTCTCTTCTAGTCCACAGCCCTTGTATCGCAGCTGAGGCAGGTGAGATTCTGAGAGGGGAAATGCTTACAGGAGGCCACACAGCATGGAGGCCACTGAGCCAAAGCCAAACCTTACCTCTATGCCCTGCTTTCAGCATCCTCGGGCTTGGGAGGGTGTTTATAAGAAGGCTGCTGAGCATTTGTTTTCCACCTCAGGATAAGAAAAGGAAATGAATTAATATTGAGGAGACACCATGATCCAGCCCAAGGAAGAAGTTATGGCTCCTCCACAGATGACAGGATGCTGTCCCCGGAATTTCTTAAGAACTGTTTATGCCTTTGTCTGTCCAAAGGGGCAAAATCTTTGGGGTCTGGTCAAGGTCGTCTAGAGCTTCTCAGAGTGATCCCTACTGTTCCTCTAGAGTTAATAAGCATTATAAGAAAGAGGGCTCTGTGGTCAAATAAGCTAAGGAAACATAGGTATTAAACAGTGTTTGTTTCTGGAAGACTTTTCAGAGCCTTTAATGGGATACTGTACATAATGATTCTCCAAGAATGGAACATAGACTGCAGCCTTTCCCAAACACATTGAACTAACCCCCTTTTTTAAGCAGTTTGGAGATTAATGTTCTGTGGAACATGCTTTGGAGTACTGACCTAGCAACATTTAATAAGATTTTCTATGTGCCTTGGTAGGAGTTTCTGGGTGGTGCAAACAGTTAACACACTCGACTACTAACCAAAAGGTTGGAGGTTCAAGTCCACCCAGAGGTATCTTGAAAGAAAGCCCTAGTGATCTACTTCCAAAAAATCAGCCATTGCAAACTCTATGGAGCAGAGTTCTACTCTGACATACCTGGGGTCGCAATGAGTTGGAATTGACTCAAAGGCAACTGGTTTTGTGTGCTTTTTTTTTTTTTTTTTAATTGTGCCTTAGGTGAAAGTTTACAGAGCAAATTAGTTTCTCATTAAACAATTAATACACAAATTGTTTTGTGACATTGGTTGCCAACCCCACGATGTGTCAGTACTCTCCCCTTCTCCACCCCGGGTTCCCTGTTTCCATTCGTCCAGTTTTCTTGTCCCTTCCTGCCTTCTTGTCTTTGCTTTTGGGCTGGTGTGCCCATTAGTCTTGTAGACATGATTGAACTACGAAGCACATTCCTCACGTATGTTATTGTTTGCCCTATAGACCAGGTTTTATGCGCCTTTGTGGAGCTCTATAGGTTGGTCAACAGCCCATCGAGTCTTGACAGTACATTCTTCTCGTGGGTGAGATGCTTGGCAGTTTGAAGGCTCTAGGGAGAGGACGTGATCAGAAAAAGGGGGAGGGGTTAATACTTTTTGTCAAAATATACACAATAAAACATACACCACTTCCACAATTTCTACTATGTACAATTCGGTGACATTAGTTACGTTCTTCAAGCTGTACCTCCTTTCTCGACAACCTTTTCCAAACTATTTCACCGTTATTAACACAAACTCACAGCAGAAGGGTGAGATCATTTGGGAAGACTTTCGGGAAGCGGTGCCTAGTAAGTCGAGCCTTAAAGGAGATGGGGCAGGGAGCAGGGGTATAACTTATCACCCCACCTTGTCCTCGCACAACCCCAACACCCTTACTCTCTCTATGGCCAGGCCTGAAGACGATTGTGGGGGCCCTAATCCAGTCAGTGAAAAGGCTGTCAGATGTCATGATCCTCACCGTCTTCTGCCTGAGTGTCTTTGCCCTGGTGGGGCTGCAGCTCTTCATGGGAAACCTGCGGCAGAAGTGCGTGCGCTGGCCCCCACCCTTCAACAACACCAACACCACGTGGTACGGCAATGACACGTGGTACGGCAATGACACATGGTACGGCAATGACACGTGGTATAGCAACGACACATGGAACAGCCGTGAGAGTTGGGTCAGCAACTTCCCCTTTGACTGGGATGCCTACATCAGCGATGAAGGTAAGGTTGGCAGATGGGATGCAAATGGAGCCTGTCCGTGCCTCTAGGGCAGCCCCTTCCTCAGCTTCTTGTGAGACAAACATCATGGCCAACTGGACGTAGATCCCTGGGTGGCACAAGCAGTTTGCAGTCGGCTACTAACCTAAAGGCTGGCAGTTCAAACCCACCCAGCGGCATCACGGAAGAAAGGCCTGACGATCTGCTTCTGTAAAGATTACAGCCAAGAAAACCCTATGGAGCAGTTCTCCTCTGTATCACATGGGGTCACCATGAGTCAGAATCGACTTGACAACAACAGATTTTTTTAAAAAAATAGTTTGATAGTCCTTATTCCCTCACCTGTACACTCCCTGCTCTCTTTCATCACACTATTTGCTCACATCCTGGCAGGGCCACGGCCAGCTACCCACACACCCACATTATATTCACATGCCTGTACATCACAGGCACACACACAACACGTACACATTCTCACACAGCCACTATTAGTCCAGACAGTGCCTTCATGCAAGTTAGAAAAAGGCACCTCTTCTCAGCCTGGCATCCTGGATTCTAGCCCCAGCTCACCCGAGTCAGGTGTCCTGTACAGGTATGTGGTAGCACCATGCACACACATACACGTTTCTCCCATCTCTCTCTGTGGTCCTGCTATGTCCTTACTTAACAACCACACTAGGCACTGAGCTTGGAGCTGAGCTACCTGCAAGGTACCTACCCAGAGGCCTGTTCTGGGCACTGGAATTTGGGGTTGCCCTAAGGAGGGGGGAAGGGGCACCTAGGGAGTATCCATTTGTTGTAGGTGGGCCACACAGACATGTCTAAAAGTGTGCAATGGGTGTGTGTGCTCATAGTGTATACATGTGGGTAACACACCGCCTTTGTGCTCTCTGACTCCCAAAGGGAACTTCTATTTCCTGGAGGGCTCCAACGATGCCCTGCTTTGTGGGAACAGCAGTGACGCCGGGTGAGTGATGCTGGGGCTGGAACAAGGCACCCCCTGGGGCCTGGGCCGATAGGAGTAGTGTGAGGAGAAGGACGTGGAGTGAATGAGAGTGCAAGGGAAAACCGGGGGCATGGATGCAACCTTCCTTGTTTTCAGGGGCACAGGCAGAACTGAAGGATGTTTCCCTTGGGGCTCCCCATCTCTGTCCCCCACCTGGATCTCCTCTCCTTCCCTAAACCCAGCCCCCATCCCATCCCTAGGCACTGCCCCGAGGGGTACAAGTGCATCAAGACGGGGCGGAACCCCAACTATGGCTACACGAACTACGACACCTTCAGCTGGGCCTTCCTGGCTCTCTTTCGCCTCATGACACAAGACTACTGGGAGAACCTCTTCCAGCTGGTACAGCTGCCCTCACCTTGCCCCCAAGCCCTGCAGCCACCCCCCTTCAGGACGGCCAAGCCCCCAACAGGGGCTGTCTCCTTCAGGGAATCCCTCAGTGCTCTCCAACACAGGCTCCTGCCCGAATCCCAGCCACCACCTTTTCTTCCTTCCCCACCTTTGCCTTAAAAGCTGAGGTGTGGGCTCCAGGCCCCACAGTAACCAGTAGCGCACCTTAGAAACTCAGTTTTTCTCACACACATTTATTTCAGCTTCTACTGTTTGCAGGGCAGGCTGGATGAGTCAGGAGTGACAGGGCCTTCTGGTCCTGCTGATGCTTCTAACACTGATGATGTTAATAATAATAATAATAATAATAATGGCTAGTATCTGTTGGGAGCCCTGGTGGTGCAGTGGTTAAGAGCTTGGCTGCTGACCAGAAGGCTGGCAGTTCGAATCCACCATCCACTCCTTGGAAACCCTATGGGGCAGTTCTCCTCTGTCCTATAGGGTCACTATGAGTCAGAATCGACTCGACAGTAATGAGTTATGGGTTAGTATCTGTTGAGCTCTTACTAGGTGCTAAAGCTGGGATTCAAGCTGACCCCAAAGCCCATGTTCACTATTTTTCTATCCTGACTACCTGATCTGGGGGTGACTGGCTGGGGTCCTCAGAGTTCTGAGCCAGGATATCAGGAAAGTCGAGTTCTAAGCATACACTGTGACGCTCTGTGGAATGTGGTTTAGCCTCTTAAGGATGGCCACACACTGCCTCAAAGGTCCTCAAATCCCCAGGCTCTGCGAAGGACCCGCTGTTTACCCATCTGGGCAATGGGTGTGTGGGAAAGGGCAGTGGGTGAAAGAGAGCAGGCTAGAAGTGGGATGCCATGTGACACCCCCCCACCCCCACCCCCAGACCCTGCGAGCAGCCGGCAAGACTTACATGATCTTCTTCGTGGTCATCATTTTCCTGGGCTCCTTCTACCTCATCAATCTGATCTTGGCAGTGGTGGCCATGGCATATGCTGAACAGAACGAGGCCACGCTGGCCGAAGCCCAGGAGAAAGAAGAGGAGTTTCAGCAGATGCTACAGAAATTCAAAAAGCAACAGGAGGAACTGGAGAAGGTCTGGACAAAGGGAGAGGAGGCCAAGGACCCAGGGGTCTCCCTGCCCCTCAGCCTGGGATGCTTGGCTACTGGCTGCCCCCAGGCAGGCTGAGGGTGAGGGAGGGGCCGGGGGCAGGGGTTGTGAAGCAGGAGGGGCAGAAGGCCCCAGGCTGGGGGCTTTGATGGAATAACTGACGTCCATGCAGTAGAAAGGGTATTTTTCTGCTCTGTGCCTTGGTTTCCCTACCTGCAGCAAGGAATCCAGAGTTGATCAACCCTAATTCAAATATCTCTGACTTTGGGATTATTTCTGGGCAGCACATGGATCCGAGCTGAGGGAGAGGTTGGGTCCTGGTGAGGCCCAAAGGGCAGCTGCCCATTTTCTCACCATCACGTCAAGTGCAGGGGTTCATCAGGGCATCAGAGTTGAGGGTCTTCAGGGCTGAGGGTCCTCAGTCACTGGTCCCTACCCTGCTACACCCGCCCTGGAGGTTGGGCCTTACCCTCACCCTACCCCCCCAACTAGGCTTGGCACAGGCCAAGAAGAGGGGTCAGGGTCAGTTAGTCCATCCCCTTGGCTCAGAGCTGGACTTCATGCCCGCCTCCCTTGCTGGTCTGCAGGCCAAGGCCGCCCAGGCTCTGGAAGGTGGGGAGGCAGATGGGGACCCGGCCCACGGCAAAGACTGCAATGGCAGCCTGGACACGGCCCCGGGGGAGAAGGGGCCCCCGAGGCAGAGCCACAGCACAGACAGTGCCATGGAAGGTGAGTGCCCTGCATCCCGGGCCCATCCTACCCATCCAGGCCGCTCGGCTCCTGAGGGAGCAGGGTGGGGTCCAGCTGGGCCCAGCTTCAGGACAGTAGTAACTTAATCTTGGCATCGAAGAAATGGCTGTGATAAATATAGTTTTGGCTTCACCTGGCCCAGCTCTGGCTTCAAGGCCCAGCCGCTGCAGGAACTGGGGGCTTCCGGGAGGGCCTAGGGGGCTGCCAAGGCAATGAGGAAGGACAGGCTAATAATACTAACCAGGAAGCCCCAACATTCCGGAAACCGGAGATGCTGCTCCTCAAGTATCCTCTGGTGAGAAGTTAAACGTCAATAAATTCTGCCCAGGTGGAGTCACAGATTCCCCCCATCCCTGCCCCCCCCCACCAGTGTCAGGAGAAGACTAGGATGAGGTAACAAGAGGGGGATGGAGAGACACCCAGATGACCTGTAAAATTAATGAATGGGGAGAGAGAGATGGGGTGTGGATGGATGAGAGGGAGGGAGGAAGGAAGGAAGGAGAAAGGGAAGGAAGGAAGGGAGAGAGGAGGTAAGAAAGGAAATCTGACACAGACATATGGAACTGCTGCACCCCGTGGGTGAAGTTCAAGAACATCTGATCCCCTCCCCCAGGCCAGCTTGCCTTGCACCAGGAAGGAGTTTGGGGTCCTACAGGACTTTGTGCGAACCTCTCCAGGGCACCATCTCCTGACCCTGTATAACAGGCATCCAGATGCCTGTCTGTCTGTCTGTGTGCCCTGAATGCTGAGGTAGGGCTGGCCGAGGCTGGAAATCGCCCAGGTGTTCCAGGGCTCACACACTGTTTGGGGACCTGCAGTAGCACTGGAAGGGAACAGGGTCACGATCAGACTAGAATGGGCTGCAGCCTTTCAGAGAGGTTCAGGTTGCTAATCCCCGGGTCGGGGTGGGGTCAGATGGCCCCCAACCCGGGGGTGCCCCAATCATGCAGTCAACCCTGGGCCTCCATGGGGCTGCCACCCCTCCAGTCCCCTTTCCTTGTCTATGAACTGGGAGGCGCTAATCGTATTTACCTCATAAATGTGTTATGCTCCTTAAATGAGGCCATGCCTACAGCAGGGCCAGGACGGTGGAGGCCTGAAAGGCCTGGCGGAGGAGCAGCGTCATCCCATAGGCCTTACAGAGCCACCAGGGCTTTAGAGCTGGGGGCAAGAGCAGGGGGTGTTTCCAGAAAGCCACTCTGGTGACACAGGACCGACTGGCTGGGATAGTCTGGAGGGTGGTAGTGGGGAGGGAGAGCCCTTAGGTGGGGGGTGTCTCAGTCTGCTCCTCAGTGGAGCTGGCCAGCAGCCGGGGAAACTGGGGACCCAACCCCCTCCAGCGGTCTCCCTCTCCGACTCTCCCTGTGACCCTTGGGGGTCTAGCCTGAGGGCAGGCATTCTCCTAAGCCAGAATGGCACGCCCTCGCCCTGGGGCAGATGGGAGGAGTCACGTGGCCAGAGCTCACTGAGGGGCGGGCCTTTGTGCCAAGAAGGCGGGCCTAAAGAAGAACGCTGAGGGGCGGGGCTTGGAATAGGCCTTGCTGAGGGGGTGGGGTTTTGAGGTTCAGAGCACTGAGAGGCGGGGCTTTCAGGGAAAAGGTTTTCAAGGGTGGAGCCATATAGGGCAGACTTTACAGCGGAGGAGTTTTGAGGATGCTGTAGTGAGAGGCGGGGTTTGGCGTAAGCCTAGCAGAGGAGGTAAGGTTTTGAGGGTCAAAGCACTGAGGCGTGGGGCTTTTAGGGATGAAGCTTCGATGGACGGAGCCCTTAGAGCTGGAGCTATATGGGGCGGAGTTTATAGAGGAGGGGATTTGAGGGTGGCGCACTGAAAGGCGGGGCTTGGGGTAGGCCTCGCTGAGGGGGTGCGGCATTGAGGTGTGGGATGCTAAGGGGTGGGGCTTGGAAGGTGGGACCGAAGATCTGGTGGAGTGAGCGGGGCAGGAGAGGGCGGGAATCCTCGTCAGGTGTCTGTGTTGTGACCCCGCTTCCAGAGCTGGAAGAGGCCCACCAGAAGTGCCCGCCATGGTGGTACAAGTGCGCACACACAGTGCTCATATGGAACTGCTGCACTCCGTGGATGAAGTTCAGGCGCATCATCCACCTGATTGTCATGGACCCCTTCGTTGACCTGGGCATCACCATCTGCATCGTGCTCAACACCCTCTTCATGGCCATGGAACATTACCCCATGACGGAGCACTTTGACAACGTGCTCACTGTGGGCAACCTGGTATGGAGGGGCCAGGGGAGAGGGCAGTCATGCGGGGACAGGTGAGGAGAGGGGTTGTCTGGGCTCAGACGGGTTGTCTGGGCTGTGTGGAAATATGGGATACTGTTGGGAGGTATGTGAGGACAGACGGGTTATTTACCCTGTATATGGGAGACATGCTGCAAAAGGCCTCTTTAAAGTGTTGGAAAGCAAAGATGTCACCTTGAAGACTAAGGTGCACCTGACCCAAGCCATAGGGTTTTCAGTTGCCTCATATGCATGCAACAGCTGGACGATGAATAAGGAAGATCAAAGAAGAATTGATGCCTTTGAAATGTGGTGTTGACAAAGAATATTGAATAATACCATGGACTGCCAAAAGAACAAACAAATCTGTCTTGGAAGAAGTACAACCAGAATGCTCTTTAGAAGCAAGGATGGCAAGATTACATCTTATATACTTTGGACATGTTGTCGGGAAGGATCAGTCCCTGGAGAAGTTCATCATGCTTGGTAAATTACAGGATCAGCAAGAAAGAGGAAGACCCTCAACGAGATGGATTGACCCAGTGTCTGCAACAACGGGCTCAAGCATAGCAACGATTGTGAGGAGGATGGCGCAGGACCGGGCAGTGTTTCGTTCTGTGGTGCATAGGGTTGCTCTGAGCTGGAACTGACTTGACGGCACCTAATAACAGCAACAACATGGGAGACATGAGTTGATATGCTAAGGAGGTTTATGAGTTGAAATTTGGGATGTGGAATTTGGGTTCCAGGGTATTTGAGAACAGGAAGAGTGGGGGTGGGGTGCTGGGCTTCCAAAGGTCAGGACCCTGGGAGGCCCTGGGACCCAGACCATCTGTGCTGGTGGCAGAGGGTCCTGCGTGGCAGGGCTCCCCACTTCCAGAGGTTGTCATGGGCCTGAGAGAGACCAAGGAACCTGAAAGTGAGGCATGTATATAGCCATGGACGCTCAGGCCCAAGAAGCCCAAGCTCACCCTGGAGGCCTCACCCACTCCTCACCCCACTGCCTGCTACCTCTTCTCCGGAGTGGCCAGGCCAGCTCCCCGTCCAGCCCATCCCTGCTCCACTGTTGTTGACACGCACTGATCCACCAGCTTATCCCTGCCCATTAGGAGCATTATCACCTTGTTGCCTGCCCCCGTGGAGCCTGACAAAGGGAAAAAGCTGCCTCCTCCTCCAGCCGTGGCCCCGCCCCACCCTTCCCATTTCCCTCTGTAATTTTTCTAGAAGGGCAAAAGGGCAAAATTCTCTCCCCACCCCGAGGTAGAGGGGAGCCCAGGGAGAGAAGTGAGATTGGGACCTGGGCAGGATGAGGGCTGGGTAGGTGGCACGGGAGTTGGACAGAGACCCTGGACTCCCCAGCCTAAGCAGCAGGCTTGTCCATCCCCATGGAGGTGCCCGAGGCAGCCATGGCCAGGCGGGGCTGGAGGGGCAAGGGTGCGCTCTGAACTCTGTGCACAGCTGCTGGGGTGTGTGTGATGGGCTTGGCCCGCCAGCCACCCGCCCCCTGCCCACACTGTGCTGCCATCTGGGCACCTGCTATGGTCAGGAACAGCTCCTGGGAGGGGCTCAGCATGTGCCTGGGCAGGCTGTGGACCCAGGGCAGCAGGTGCCTCGCAGAGGGGAGCTGTGCCTAAGGAGTTTCAGGGGCTGTGTAGCCCTCAGATCCCTATGACCAGGGCTGGAGGGCAGCTCTGGCCTTCTTATTGATCCCAGCTTTGTCCACTTTTGGCCCCTACCCTAGACCTCCAAGTCCACCAAGATTTTTTGGGTCCTGGAACTCCCCACCAACTAAGGTAGAGAGGCTGTAGAGGTAGAGACAGTGAACTGAGCACACCAAGAACTGAGTTTGAGACCTGACTTATCGGCATATGGGCTGCATGACTTAGAGCTAGCCATGTAACCTCTCTGAGCCTCAGTTTCTCCACTATGAAGTAAGTGTGATAATCTCTCCCTTCATAGAGATTGAGATACTAATGAGCTCATAACGTGAGCCACAATGAATGAATGTTGACTGCTATAATTGGGTTGAGGCCCCAAGAAGTTAAGGGACTTGTCCGTGGTCACAAGGCCAGAAATTGGTGGGTCCACATGTCTGGGTTGTACTGACATGTGCCTTGTGGCATGACCATTCTACTCTCCCACCTACCCCACTACACACACATATGGAGCGTGGGTACCACTCCTTGCCCCTCTCAGGGCTCTGGACCCCTTCCTCTTAGCCCCCATGAGCTCTGCCAGGAGGCAGGAATGGGGCAGTAACCAACCTCCCAAGGCCCTGTGCTCCCTCAGGCTCTATGACGGTGACCCCTACCCCACCCTGCAGGTCTTCACTGGCATCTTCACGGCTGAGATGGTACTGAAGCTGATTGCCATGGACCCCTATGAGTATTTCCAGCAGGGCTGGAACATCTTCGACAGCATCATCGTCACCCTCAGCCTGGTGGAACTGGGCCTGGCCAATGTGCAGGGGCTGTCTGTGCTGCGCTCCTTCCGGCTGGTACGAGAGGTCCCCAGGGCCCAGGGCTGAGGAGTGCTGGGGTGTCAATACTAGGGAGGGTGGGCATGGGGGAGAGGAAGAGAAGCCAGAGTTCTGGGAGTAAGGTCCCCCTCTCCCCTTGTGGACAACACTTAACCTCTCTGAACCCTTCTTACCTGTGCAACAGGGAGAAAGGAGCCTTCCCTCCTTCACACACATGGCTGCTGGGGGGCCAAAATGACAACCCTAGGAGCTGATGTTTGGGTTTGATTCCGTAATGACCTTGGACGGGAGTGGAGCAGGGACTTCAGCCCCAGACAGCAGACCTGAAAACTGAGACTCCGGAAGTTCCTTAGTAGTAGGATTGAGACTCCTGAATTAGTGTTCTTTCCACCACCCCATGGAGCACTTCCTTTTAACATATGAAGAGCATGAGATGGTAGGATATGGATGTCCCCATTTAACAGAGAGGCAGACTGAGGCCTCAGATCACTCAGAGGCATGGTGAGGGCATTAGAGCTATTCAAGATAGTTCTTTCCCCTAAGGATGTGGCTCCCTTGGGTTGGGCCTGGGGTCCCTGGGCCTCATTCACCCTTGCCCTCCCCCTGTCGGACAGCTACGGGTCTTCAAGCTGGCCAAGTCGTGGCCAACGCTGAACATGCTCATCAAGATCATCGGCAACTCGGTGGGGGCTCTGGGCAACCTGACGCTGGTGCTGGCCATCATTGTGTTCATCTTCGCCGTGGTGGGCATGCAGCTGTTCGGCAAGAGCTACAAGGAGTGCGTGTGCAAGATTGCCGCCGACTGCAGCCTGCCACGCTGGCACATGAACGACTTCTTCCACTCCTTCCTCATCATCTTCCGCATCCTGTGCGGGGAGTGGATCGAGACCATGTGGGACTGCATGGAGGTGGCCGGCCAGGCCATGTGCCTCACCGTCTTCCTCATGGTCATGGTCATTGGCAATCTGGTGGTGAGTGAGGCCAGCTGGATGGCTTCCCAGCCTTGCCCAGCAAACCCAAGTGTACGGGACATGGCCCATTACTTTATTTACTGTAAATCCAGCTGTCGTTTGAGGGTCTGTGTTCTGTTAAGTTGAACCATATGAAATTACTGATACTTGATGTTTCAACTGCCGTTATTCCCCAAATGGCAATTTCATGTGGTTTATTCCAGTGGTTCTTAAATTTTAATGTACTTCAGAATCACCCGAGGTCCCTGGGTGGTGCAAATGGTTTTCACTCAGCTACTAAGCTAAAGCTTGGCAGTTTGAACCCCCCCAGTGGCGCCACAGAAGAAAGTTCTGGTGATCTGCTGCCATAAGGATTACAGTAAAGAAAACCCTATGGAGGTCAGTTCTATTCTGTAACACACGGGGTCACCTTGAGTCAGAATCTGTCTGATGGCAGTGGGTTTGGTTTTTTATTTAAGAATCACCCAGGAGCTTCTTAAAATACAGATTCCTGGGCCTTTGTTGTTTGTCTTAGTTGCCGTCAAGTTGATTCCAACTCATGGCAACCCCATGTGTGCAGAATAGAACTGCTCCATAGGGTTTTCAAGGCTGTGACCTTTCAGAAGCAGATTGCCAGGTCTGTCTTTCAAGGCGTCTCTGGGTGGGTTTGAACCACCAACCTTTTGGCTAGTAGTGAAGTGCTTAACTGTTTGTGCCACCCAGGGAACTTCCTGGGCCCTACCCCCAGAAATTCTGATTCTGCTGCTCTGGGGTGGGGCCTGGGGATCTGCATTTCTAACAAGCTCCAAGGTGATGATGATGTCACTGGTCCGAGGACCACATTGTGATTAGCACTGTTTAAACCGAGTATTTCTGACAAAGTAAGATGACAGCTGGAGGAGCCCTGGTGGCACAATGGTTAAGCTCTTGGCTGCCAACTGAAAGGTCAGTGGTTCCAACCCATTAGCCACTCCTAGGGAGAAAAGGCCTGGCAATCTGATCCTGTGAAGATTTCATTCAGCCTAGGAAACCCTGTGGGGCAGTTCTCCTCTGTCCTATAGGGTCGCTATGAGCTGGAATTGACTTGACAGTACACGACAAGATGATAGCTGGAATCAGACCGACACGTGTTCTAATCCAGCTCCTTCCCCATCAGCCGTGCAACCTTGAACTGTTACTGCGCTGTTCTGAGTCCGGCTGGGCTCTTTAACTGTTGAATGGAAAATGATAGGGACCTCAGAGGGTATGTGGGAGGACTGACTGAGCTAGAGTCTAAAAAGGCAGAGTGGGGTTGGTATCCAGGAACTGCTGGGCCTCTTTTCCTCCTCTCCCCTTCTTACCTTCCTCTGTCCCTGGGATTCTAAAAAAAAAAAAAGAATCAGACCCAGGCATTTGGAGAGTCCAGAGGTGGCATAAACTACACCCATCCTGCCACTTTCTGCAGCTCAGGGCTCAGCATGTGGGGCAGGTGCAGGGCAGTAGAGGCTAATGAGAAACACGGCTGGGGCCCTGGTCCAGCTGACCGGCATTTCTGTGGCCAGGGCCCTGAAGGCATCTCTCCTCCCCATGCCAGCCTGGCTCCTCCCCTTCTTGAGGTGGAGGAGGGGGAGTCATCCTGCCAGGGTCTGCAGTGCTGTGCCCGGCTGCCCCCCTGCAGTAGCTGGCGCTGCCCTGGGCAATGGGGTGGGAAGACACACCGTCCCCACATTCTGAAAAGGTCTGAGGAATCCTTGGGCTGCTGGGTCAGTGCTTCTCAGATATCACTGAGCTATGGCTGGGGAGAGGGACCAGACAGGGGGCTGGGGTCACCTTGGCTGCAGGAGGAGACGATGGGAATTGGTCCCAAGCCCCCAGGGACAGCAAGAGAGAAGCACCCATATTGGCTGTCCCTGGGAAGGGAGCAGAGAGAGGGAAGGGGCCCAGGCAGAACTTTGGGGCAGGATTGGAGGTGGGGAGTTGAGGTGGGTCATGGGCGCTGAGCAGAAGGTTGTGAATGTAAGGTTAAGGGCATGGGAGAGGTTCTGCAGAAAGGCTGTGTCTCTGTGTGTGTGGACTCAAAGACATTTCAAGCCCCCGCTTTGCCACTTACTGGTGGGAAGTTGTGAGCCTTGACCTCTCCAAGCCTCAGTTTTCTTGTCTGGAAAATGGAGTGATAACAGTGGTGACCTGCTTCACTGGGCAGTCGTGAGGATTACACGATACATGTGGTCAAAAACCTTTTGCTGCTGAGTCGATTCCAACTCATAGCGACCCTGTAGGACAGAGTAGAACTGCCCCATAGAGTTTCTAAGGAGCGCCTGGTGGATTTGAACTGCCGACCTTTTGGTTAGCAGCTGTAGCACTTAACCACTATGCCACATGCGGTCAAGGAAGTTCAAATATTACAGGGGTGCTGGGAGAGGGCGACGGTGCTGCGGGCGCCCTTTAGGTACCAGCCATCGGCGTAAGTGCTCCTGGGTTTTGGGCTCCTGCCATGTGCTTGGCTCTCTGCAAGGGGCTTTAAGTGAATTATCCCTAATCCTCTCAATAACCCTGCGAGACTGTAATGCTATCTCCACAATCCATGCTTCCCCGCCCAGAATCACACAATTAGGGAGAAACTGACCTGGGACGAGAGCCTGGGTCTGTATAACTCCAGTAATAACAGCAACACCAAGAGCAGTTATCATAGTAATGGTAACATCCACACCACCCATAACACTCATGAGAGCTGACATCCCTTTAGCATTTACCCAGCATTCTGAGCACTCTGTGTGCCTTCATCCATTTAATCCTCACAACCACCCTGCGACAGCCGTGCTATCATATCTCTGTTTTATAGACAAGGAAACAAAGGCACGCAGAGTTGAATTAGTAACATGCACAGGATCTGAACCAAAGCAGTCTGGCTCCAGAGTTCCATAACCACTGCACCACACTGCCACTGTGCATGCCTGGCCCCTCACCCCACCCTCCTGTCACACACATGCATACCACTGACACCCTTTTTAGGCCCAGCTCCGTGGCTGTCCCAGTTTGGAGGAAGAGGAGTGGCCGAGGGAGGCAGCACTGTCTGCTTCTTGGGCATTGTCCCTTCCCACCAGTCCCAGGCCTCAGGGAAGCAGGCATCTGCCAAAAGGCACCAGGGCATCCTGCCAGAGAGTGTGGGGATGTGTGCCCCCTGCATCCGTGGCACTTGGGCACTTCCTCCGGGCTATTGTGAAGAAGAAGAGGAAGTGACTAGGTACACATAACCCACCCCACAGAGCCTTAAGGGGAGCGTAACGTCGTCCCCCTCTTCTCTGCCCCCCACCCCCTGCCTTGCCTGGATGGCTATTTCTGTCCCAGGCAAGAGCCGTGTGCAAACCCTGCTAATACCCATCTCAGATGTGTTTCTGGCAACTGGACACCTCCCCTCAAGAGAAGGAAAGACAGACCAGTAAACTCTGGTGGAGGACAAAAGGCAGAAAAGCGGCTAGAGAGCACAGGGAGAGGAATCACCCCCAGGGGCCTTAAATATTTTTTGAGATATTATGCTAACATGGTAGTTAAGACAATGACGAAAAGAACTCGGGGGACACCGGTGAAAGCCAGAAACGAGAGGCACACGAAGGAGATGGTCAAGGTTGGCAGATTCGCACGTCCTGGCTCACTGCTCCCTCGTACCCACTCACACACCTAGCCCCGCCTTCCCCCTCCCCCCAGAGTAAGAACCTGGTTCTGCCTCTGGCTGATAGGAGCCAGGGCACCCCTTACCCCAGCCACCCCTCACCCTCTTCCCCACTACCCAGGGAGGGGTGGACTGGTGAGAGGCAGGGTCACCATGTTACATACCTCTGGGGGTGCCATTCACATTTTAGTCTAAGTGAATGGTGCCCCCTAAAATTGTGCAATAACTGGAAACCTGTGTTCTAGTCTTGACTGTACTGTATGTATGTATGTCCTAGGGCAAGTCACTCCACCTCTCTGGAGCGCAGTTACCTCATCTGTAAAATGAAGGAGCTGGCCTTAGAGTGGAACAAGCTCTTCCCTGTACCTTGTATAGTTTTCTATTATTGCACACATGATAACAGCCAACATGTTTTGAGCACCTACTGTGTGCCACAGTTGTATTGATCATTTAATCTCACAGCATTGTGAGGAAGTAGGTCGATAATTATCCCCGTTTTACAGATGAGGAAACCGAGGCAGAGAGAGGTAAACTTGCTCCAGAACACACAGCTAGTTAACTGGAGTTCAAAGCCTGTGCACCCTAATTTATGTCGTTGTTGTGTGCTGTCAAGTCTATTCTAACTCAGCGACACTACAGGACAGAGCAGAACTGCCCCATCGGGTTTCCTAGGCTGTCATCTTTACGGGAGCAGATCGCCCGGTCTTTTCTCCCAGAGAGCTGCTGATGAGTTCCAACCGCCTGACCTTTTGATTAGCAGCCAAGCACTTAACCACTTCGCCACTAGAGCTCCTTCCCCAATCTATACTGCTGTCCAAACACACTGAATACTATTGGATCCAATGTCTTTCTCTAACCAGTCTGTGACTCCCTGAGGCTGCTCGCTCCTGCACACAGTGGCAGCAGCTCAGTAAATGTCCAGTGGAAAATCAAGTCAGGTGGGAGGAGGTGGACCAGCAGCCTCTTAAATCCCTCCTAGTAGGAGTGTGGGAAGGGAACCAGGAACCCCAGGAGGGAGAAGAGGAGTTGAATAGTGGTAGGTCAAATGCCCCTTCCAGAGAAATAGGGGACAGGTATCTGAGTACTAGGGAACACTGAGTCAATTAAAAATCCCATTTAACAGATGAGGAAAAGAAGGATCAAGATTAAGATTCCAGTAAGTCCTGAAAACCTGAACCCTGTTCTTCATTCTACTGTCCCCAGCAGTGGAGGTAGAGGACAGAGGTGGCATCATAGAGTCCCCCATCACCCAGTGTGCCAATTCCTCCCTTGGCCTTGGGCAGAGTCATATGGTATGCCCAAGCCTCAGTTTCTGCAAAGTGGGCATGATAATAACAATCGCTGCCTCCATAGGCGGCTGTGAAGATCCAGCGAGGTGATGTCCTCCTTTTAAATGCCTAGCATGAGATAGGTTTGACCTGTAGGGCTGAGCCCCTCATGCTGGCTCACGATGGCACCCCCAGGGAACCAGAGGCTGAGCTGAGGCTCCACCAATGCCTGTTCCCCAGGTCCTGAACTTGTTCCTGGCCCTGCTGCTGAGCTCCTTCAGCGCGGACAGCCTGGCGGCCTCAGATGAGGACGGCGAGATGAATAACCTGCAGATCGCCATTGGGCGTATCAAGTGGGGCATTGGCTTCGCCAAGGCCTTCCTCCTGGGACTGGTGCACGGCAAGGTCCTGAGCCCCAAGGAGATAATGCTCAGCCTCGGGGAGCCCTGCGAGGCCATGGAGGCCGGGGAGAGTGCCCCCGAGGATGAGAAGAAGGAGCTGCCACCCGAGGAGGGCGACATAGATCTGAAGAAGGACAATCACATCCTGAAACACATGGGCTTGGCTGATGGCTCTCCCACCAGTGTCGAGCTAGACCACCTCAACTTCATCAACAATCCCTACCTGACCATTCAGGTGCCCATCGCGTCTGAGGAGTCGGACCTGGAGATGCCCACGGAAGACGAGACCGACACCTTCTCGGAGCCTGAGGATGGCAAGGTGAGCCTGTCACAGGGCCTGGCTTAGGGGGTGGGGGTCAGGTAGACCTGGATGCACATTTTCGTATGAGCTTGGGCAAGTCACAAAACCTCTCCAAGCCTTAGCTGCTCCATCTGTAAAATGTGGTAATGGTACCTACTCATGGCGTCATTGTGAACAGTGAACAGTAGATGAGTTGTGTGTGTAAAGCACATAGTGAGCACTCTGTAAATGGCGACGGTTGTAGTTATTAACGTGACTATTAAGATCAGCCCTACCTGTTCTGAAACTCTCTCTGGTCTCCCTTCACCCCTCTGGCTTCACAACTCTGGCTGATCCAGGCCCTGGTGGCCCTCTCTCACCAGCAGATGGCGATCTTGGATAGGACACAGTTACCTATGGCACCTCAGCCCCAAGACTGGGACCCAAGGAAAAAAACGGTTGCCCTTGAGTCGACTCTGACTCATGGTGACCCCGTGTCTGTCAGAGTAGAACTGTGATCCATAGGATTTTCAGTGGCTGATCTTTAGAAAGTAAATCATCAGGCCTTTCTTCCAAGGTGCCTCTGGGTGGACTCAAACCTCCAACCTTTTGGTTAGCAGCTAAGTGAATTAACCATTTGCACCACTCAGGGACCCAAGGAGCCTCTGTTAACTTCTCTGCAGTTTTAAACTCCTGCTTAATCCATGCCACTATCACCAGTTCCTGCCTAGACCCACCAAGGGCTTGTCCCAACTTCCCAGTGTGGGCCAAGGTCCTGGACCCGAGACTCTGAGGAGAGGGCCCCAGGGGGCAATGGGAGCAGGGCGCAGCCTCAGGGCCCTAGCCCACCCAGCCTGTTCAAGGGGGCTGCTGCTGGGCTGAGATGGCCCCTCCTCTTGCCCCTTCCCTGCGAGGCTGGGGAGGGGCCTGGAACAAGGGTGGTGGTCACCCCTAGAAGTCAGGGATGAGGCCGGGGCCCTGCTGGTCCTCCTTGGGGAGCTGAGCTGAGCCCCCCTCACCCACCCTCCAGCAGGGGGGAAAGGGCACATATGCCAGGGCAGAGAGCTTGCCTGCCCCACTGATCAACCCTGGGCCTGGCTGGGAACTGGAACCTGAGTGAACTTTACCCTGAAAACTCTTGACTCCTTATTCCCCCCCGAATACGTGGCGTGCTGACTTAACCAGGGGAGCCAGTGCCTGCCCAGCTATAAATACCCCGGAAATGGGGCGAGTGGTGCCGACCTTGATAAGAGGAACATGGGTGGGGGAGGGGGTGGAGAGCGCTGGGTCCAAGCCTGGGGGTGGGGCGGGGCAGGGGACTCTTTAAAAGGGGGCAAGCATGGCTCCAAGGGGAATTGTTTGTGGAAGTGGGGTACACAGGCCAGGCAAGTGGCTCAGTAAACACCCGGGTTGACCTAACATTGTGTGCCTCAGTTTCCCTTGCTGTTAACTGCGAACAAGCCTCTCCTCCATCCTTCCTGGTTTCCTGTTTACCACTCTGGATCCAGAGCTGCCCCAAGCTGCCCTCTTGACCTGCTCCTTCTCTGTCTTCCCCTTTGGGGGCCTCACCCCCAGCCTGAAGGAGTCCCCTGCCGAGTGGAAGCTGGGGCCAAGAAGCTGGCCTGGGACAGCCCCAGGAGGAGGAGGAGGCCCGGCCAGGCCAAGCACCAGCCTCCCCCACCCCATGCCCATGCCGATCAGGTTCCCTCGGTGCCGGGCAGGCAGGGACTCTGGCTGGGTAAAACTTTCCCTCCTTTCTGGATTCCTCAGCCAAACAGACCCTGCGGTGGGAAGGCTCAGACCTTGCCGGCACCGCGTGCGTGTTGTCTTTGGGCTGTGGCACCGCAGTTTCATCTTGGCCCCCTCTTCACACCCTGTCCCCCTCAAAAGTACCCCTGCCCCCCCCATGCGACCCCCAGCCCCCAACCCAACTGAGCCAGCCCCACCCCTGCTCTTCTCCGGGCATCTCTGGTACCTGATGGCCTCCATGTCCTCCTACTCTCCCCGCCCTTCCCAGGCCTCCGCCCTCTCCCCTCTGAAAGGAAACTGCATGAGGGTGGGACTACCCCGCGTGGGTCACATGCCGGGGGTGGGGGTAGATAATCCAGGGCCAAGGAAAGAAGGAAGGAATGAACGAATGGGTCTGCTCCAGCCCTTCTTCCTCTCTTCCCTTGTGGTCTCCGATCCTGATCTTCATCTGCACCCCCTGACCCACGGAAGCAGCCACAGCCCCTCTACGACGGGAACTCCTCCGTCTGCAGCACGGCCGACTACAAACCCCCTGAGGAGGACCCCGAGGAGCAGGCCGAGGAAAACCCCGAGGGGGAGCAGCCCGAGGAGTGCTTCACTGAAGGTGGGAGCCCACTGTGAGCTGCACCCCTCCTTGCCATGCCAGGGGCTGGAGGGGGGCAGCAGCCTGGCCCAGCCCGCTGCCACCCCAGGGACATGTGCATCACCAAAACTGTGCCAGGGCCTGCTTCCCCCACCTCACCTGGGAAAATACAACCCCCGAGGTGGTGGGGGTGTCGGAGCCAGAGAGCCTCCCTGCTGTGCCCTGAGCCGCAGTGTGTGCCTATCGTGATGGGGTGCCTGCCTCCGAAGCTGCTGTACGGATTCCATTCAGAGTCCTCAGGGGTGCAGGTGGCTGCTGCTAAGACTGCCATCCTCTTCCTCATCTTCCTCTTCCAAGAGAGGCCTGCCCAGCCCTTCAGGAGCAGCCGTGGAGAAAACCTTTACCCGAAGTGCCTGGGCTGGGCAGTGAAGGCTGCCCTGGCGAGGAGGGGGAGGACGGGGGCAGTGGATGGCCACAGCACTTGGGCTGGCGGCCTGTGCCCCTGACTCCCTCTCACGTCCACCCCTGGTGGAGTGTGCGGCGGAGGCAGGGCCTGAGGCCCCATGGTGAGGGGAGGAGCTGGCCCTCCCTCCTACCCACCCACTCCCCACCAGTCCCAGATGGAGCCAGGTCTTGGGAGGAGAAGGGATCCTGAGTCAGAGCAGTGAGGGGGCATCCAGGAAGGCTGGTGGAAACATGCCAACTGGGCACCCATAGGCAGCCCCCAGGCCTTGAGGTGCCCACCCCCTCTCTCCCTCAGCCTGTGTCCAGCGCTTCCCCTGCCTCTACGTGGACATCTCTCAGGGCCATGGGAAGAGGTGGTGGACCCTCCGCAGGGCCTGCTTCAAGATTGTCGAGCACAACTGGTTCGAGACCTTCATTGTCTTCATGATCCTGCTCAGCAGTGGGGCCTTGGTAGGCACCACCCTGGGGGGGACGGGGCGTGGGCAGAGGAAGGTGCCGGGCCCAAGCAGTTTCTCCTGGGGCTTCGTCCTTCCCATCACCACAGGAGGGATGCGGCCTGCTCAGTCCCAAACCCAGAGAATCTAAAGGAACTCCCCTGTGGTTTCAGGATATGGTATATAATGTATTAATTGCCTTAAAGTGACAGGTGAGCCTTCCTCCTTGTTTGGGTTCTGACGGTGCGTGCACCCCCACCATTCCAGGGGGAATGTAGAGAGAGCCCTGGGAAATTCTGGGACGGCGGGGACAGGATGAAGCTGTGTCACTGTGAAGCCCCCTAGCAAACTGTTGAGTGTTGCTATTTTTAGGCTTGGGGAAGGGGGGCTGAGAGACTGCTCCCGATGGGGAGGCTGCTTCTTCCCCATTAAGGGGGCGGAGGGTGGGGGAGCCTGGAGATGCCAACAGCCTGCCTCCTGGTCTGACCCCATGGCAGACCCCTGGGAGCCAGCAGCATCAGGCAGGGTAGGGGCCGTGGCTGCTGCCCCAGCCTCCTGGCCCTGGCCGCCCCCTGGTCATACTGGTGCCCCCAGGCCTTCGAGGACATCCACATCGAGCAGCGGCCCGTCATCCGCACCATCTTGGAATATGCCGACAAGGTCTTCACCTACGTCTTCATCATGGAGATGCTGCTTAAGTGGGTGGCCTACGGCTTCAAAGTGTACTTCACCAACGCCTGGTGCTGGCTCGACTTCCTCATCGTAGATGTGAGCTGTCCCAGCCCTGGGCCCCCAGCTAGACCCAGAGACAGTCCGTGTGGCCAGGGCCATAGGGATCCCAGGCCCTGAGAGGGGCAGGACCTGCCTGAGGTCACATAGTGGGTCAGACCCCCGGATCAGCACTGCCGCCACAGACTGGCCTCCTGGCTTCTCAAACACAGAGCTGCCTATGGGTTACAAGGGACTAGGGAAGCCTTCCTAAGGAAATGCTTTATTTCTTCTAAGGGGACAGGGTAGGGGGGTCTTGCGCAAGATGGTGAGTAAGAGAGTGACTTACGATGCCTGCTATTATTTGTGGGGTATTTTCGTGTCCTCTCTGATCATCCCTCACATCTACCATCATCCCCGGTTAATTGATGGCATTGCTGAGATAGAGCCCAGGCTCTGGAGCTGCTGTTTCCACCAGATGGGGCCACCCACTGGGGAGGGGCCTTGGGGGACATCCTAGAGCTGGGAATCCAGGAAGACCTCCCACGGCCCCAGGGACTGTGTCCTTGGGCTTCGAGGAGGCTGGGGGTCCTACAGTCACCGACACCTCTCTTTGCAGGTCTCCATCATCAGCCTGGTGGCCAACTGGATGGGCTACTCGGAACTGGGACCTATCAAATCCCTGCGGACGCTGAGGGCCCTGCGTCCCCTAAGGGCACTGTCCCGATTCGAGGGCATGAGGGTGGGTGCTGATGAGAAATCTGTGTGTGGTGCTGAGTTGAGGGGGCAGCAACCCGCAAGACAGGGTGGAGGGGGCTCATGTCTGTACTCTGGCCACCACTAGGGGGAGGCAGAGGGCTCAGACAGATTGCCCTGCCAAAGGCCAGATTTGGGGGCGCTGGAGACATCCTCCCACCTGTAGCACCCTTGGCCCACCCCCTGCCTACCTCATTCCCACCCCTGGGCCCCCTCTTCAGCCTGTCCTTAGTTTATCTCTGCCACTGGGGGCAGCGGAGGCTGCAGCAGCACCCAGGAGTGGGGGTGATGGCACCATGGCAGGCAGGAGGAGGAAGGAAAGCAGATCTGTGGGTTCTGGGTGACTATGGGTTTATGGGTATCCCTCCCCGATCTTAGACTGGGCCCCCAGGGCTCTGAGGCCTGAGCAAGGGGGAAGGTGTTTGTACCTCAGCTCTGAGCCTGCCCCCTTGATCTCGGGTCATGCTGAGGTGGAGAGGATCTCCTCAGGCCCTTTAGAGCGGAAGTGACAGGTAAACACAGAGTTTGGGGAAGACAAAGGGGCTTCCCTAGTGAAGGGAGGACTACTGGGAACAGATCTGCTTCATGAACAAAGCCTCTGAGGTAATTGGTTGTGGCCAGCAGTGTGCTCTGCCCAAGAGGCTCCTTCCTGTTCCTTCAAGGAGCCAGCCACGCCTGGACCTCTGACCCCTAGAGCCCGGGGAGTCTCCCAGCTAAGGGGAAACGGCCTGCCCATGGCTACACACCTGGTTAGTGCCCCAGCCCGGAATAGAGCTCCCCAGGGCATTGCCACTCTGTCTGGAGGCAGTGAAACAGCTTCTCCTTGAAAATGGGCAATTCTCAGATTCAGCCTAGCCTGAAATGGTGAGGTTGGCCTGTGTTCCCAGGGATGCTGGGAGACAGGGCTCAGATCCAGGGGTCCTGCTGCTTTGAAGACCCCAGTGGCTTGTTTCCTGGGCCTGGGTCTGTGTCTCTAATGCTGTGAGCAGATAAGCAGGGGGCTGGGTCACGTGGACCAAGTTTCCTATGGGGGCTGAGGAAGGAGTGTTTGTGTCCTGCCTGGTGACCCGTGGCGGGGCTGCTTCCAGAGAAGCCTCCAGCCAAGCAGAGAACCCTCCCCGACCACTAGGCCTAAGCCCGAAACTGCCCCTGACTGTCACACACACACACACACACACACACACACACACACACACACAAGCACCGACTTCTCCTCTCTAGGCCCTGGCTCAGATTGGCCCTCCTCCAGGAAGCCTACCTTGAGTACCAGTGTCCAGCTCTGCCTAGTCCTCTGGTTAGTGTGTAGGTAGGGAACCCTCTCTCAGAGGAGGCTGAATCTCCTCCACCCACCTGGACAAGGGTCTGGTCATAACCCTCTCCCCTGGCCCCCAGGTGGTGGTGAATGCCCTCCTGGGAGCCATCCCCTCCATCATGAACGTGTTGCTCGTCTGCCTCATCTTCTGGCTCATCTTCAGCATCATGGGCGTCAACTTGTTTGCCGGCAAGTTCTACTACTGCATCAACACCACTACCTCTGAGAGGTTCGACATCTCTGAGGTCAACAACAAGTCCGAGTGCGAGAGCCTGATGCACACGGGCCAGGTCCGCTGGCTCAATGTCAAGGTCAACTACGACAACGTGGGCCTGGGCTACCTCTCCCTCCTGCAGGTGGTGAGTGCCACCTCTGACCCTGCACTAAACTGAGATGGAGGTGCCCCGGTCTCTCTCATTGCACCTGAGCCCACTGTTGCTCCTTATTAGGGGGTCATCCTCCCTGTTCCCAAGGCTGTGGGCCCCTGAGATGATCTCTAGGCCTCTATGGGCTCTTATTTGATGCCTGCCCAGTGGAGCTTTGGGCAGGCAGCCTCTGGGGAGGCCCAGGTTGGAGAAGGGAGGGAAACTCATGGATGATGGAAGCAAAGAGAAGCCCCCTCCTCCTCACACCCCAACCGCACTCTCTCAGGCCACCTTCAAAGGTTGGATGGACATCATGTATGCAGCCGTGGACTCCCGGGAGGTGAGTGGGGTTCTCTGAGATGTGGCTGTTGGAGGAGACTCAGACTGGAGACACAGCAGCACATTCTGCCCTATCCCCACCCCGCCGTGTTGCCTCCTCAGGAGCCCCAGAGACCCGGGCAACCTGAGGGTGGAAGGGGTCCACCTTCTGGGCCCAGGCCTGTCCTGCCTACAGTGTGATGGGGAGCAGGGAGAGGCCAGTGTGTGCACCCAACCCCACCGCACCCCGTCCTGTCCTGTGGCCCCGCAGAAGGAGGAACAGCCAAAATACGAGGTGAACATCTACATGTACCTCTACTTCGTCATCTTCATCATCTTCGGATCCTTCTTCACCCTCAACCTCTTCATTGGCGTCATCATTGATAACTTCAACCAGCAGAAGAAGAAGATGAGTATCCAGTCCAGCCTGCCCTCCCTACGCTTTCCGCCTACCCCACGCCTGGTCTCCCTCTTCCCTTCCTCCATTCACTCATTCCATCAGATTTCAAAAACACTGCCTAAACACCTACTGTGCTGTTGCTGGCAGCGTGGTTGAGGCAGCAAGCCTGGGTTCAAATCCCCCCAGGCAACCTTGAGCAAGTGACTTGGCCTCCCTGAACTTCAGTTTCCTTATCTATAAAATGAGGTTGATACCACCACCTCACTCAGTTATTCTAAGGACCCAACGAGATATTGATGGAAAGTGTCTGGACTGGAACAGGCATGAGGTGGAGTTGGTCCCCTTCCCTCTGTCCGTCACCCTCACTTCCTTCCCCTCCCTTCTCTAGGCCGTAGATCCCCCTCAGTCTCCCTCCCCCTTCTTCTCCTCAGCCCTCCATCTCTGACCCCTCCAGGACACTCTTCCCCTTCCTTCCAGGCCCCTCTGCAGGGGTAAGGGGCTGCTCTAAGGGTGGTCCCTGAGGTAGGGGGGGTCTTGGGGGCCAAGAAGGGGCCTCCCCACTCCAACCTTACAGTCCCCATCCCATTATACTTTGGAGGGAAAGACATCTTCATGACGGAGGAACAGAAGAAATACTATAATGCCATGAAGAAGCTGGGCTCCAAGAAGCCTCAGAAGCCAATTCCCCGGCCGCAGGTACTGCCGCTCTGGGCCCCTCCTCTTGCAGCCAGGTCAGGCCATAACGTGTACAAGCACCTGTACATATTGTCCCTGAGAGGGACAGTGGTGGTCAGATGCAGCCTGTGCTCTGCCCACCAGGCTGTGTCCCTGGTGTGAGGCTGGGACCACTTGCAGGAAGGGGTGCTCTTCATAATCTGCACAAAGGCCCCTATGGACTAGCAGCAAAACCTGCTGAACTCTAGCCACTGGTTTACCCTTCGCCCATCCCTGCACAGCCCCTTACTGTCCATCCACCTCCTCACCTGGGACCCTCAGTGGTCTCTGGGGCAAAGGCCTCTAGAAGGGGGAGAAAGAGAATGTCCAGACGCCTTCCCCAGTGAGCAGTGACTTTGGGAGAAGGGTAAGGGGGAGCTGGGAGACTTTGAGGGGAGGAAGGGCCCCTGAGTACGAGAGATGCCCAAGGACTCCATAGAAGAACCTAGTCCCAGACCCATCAGAGAGCCCAGCCCCCCTCCCCTCCCTGGCAGACTCCACCACAAGCTCTGACACCTCCTCCCTCTCTCGCCTGTCTCTTCTCTCTCCGTCAAACTGTCATCCTGTGTCTCCTGCCTGTCCATGTCTGTCTGGGTCTGGGCCCCCTTCCCCATTTCCACACATGTGTATGCTTGCACTCCCATCCATGCTGTAGAACAAGATCCAGGGCATGGTGTATGACCTTGTGATGAAGCAGGCGTTTGACATCACAATCATGATCCTCATCTGCCTCAACATGGTCACCATGATGGTGGAGACGGATGACCAGAGCCAGCTCAAGGTGGACATCCTGTACAACATTAATATGATCTTCATCATCATCTTCACGGGGGAGTGCGTGCTCAAGATGTTCGCCCTGCGCCAGTACTACTTCACCATCGGCTGGAACATATTCGATTTTGTGGTTGTCATCCTGTCCATTGTGGGTGAGCAGGGCCAGGCTGGGGTGGGCAGGGCAAAGCCTGGCTGAGCCACTCAGGAATACATGGTGCTTTCTTCTCATGTACACACACACACTCACACAACACCTGGCATTCACACTTATGCACAGAGTTCACACAAGGGTGGGCTCACAGGTAGCCTATCAGCTGCACACATATGAATACACCTCAAGAAACACATTTACCTGATCAATAGATGCACACTCATGTGCTGTGTACTTCATGAAAAACATAAGAAGACTGTTCCAGGATACATACACACTGGAGAAACCGTGCATGTAATTATGGTAGCAACCAGCTACCATTGATTGAGCATTCACTATATAGCTGACACTGTGCTATGCACTTTACTGGCATTATCTCACTAATTGTTCATAACTATCCCATGAAGCAGGTAGTGTTATTGCTTCAGTTTTACAGATGAAGAAACTGAGTCACAAACAAATTAAGTGACATGCCCAGTCACATAGCTGTACACACACATGCACACACACATACACATACACGCACACCCTTCTCTTATCCATGGCATCAGCACACAGCTTTAGGAATGGGCCTTACCCTTACCCCATCAACTTTGGCATATTCTCCTTCCAGTTAGGTCAGGGCAGAGATGTAGCCCCTGGCACCAAGACCCCTGGGAGGGGCCAGCCTAATAGGTCAGGTCATTTGGGCTGTGGTCTGAGGGTTGAACCTCTACTGATCCCTTCTGGGGAAAAGCACACCAGGCCAGTCCTTCTTTGGGCCTGACCCCACACCCTCATTCCCTGACCCATTGTCCCACCCTGAGGCTGCAGTTCTCACTAGGTCCTCCCTACAGGCCTGGCGCTCTCCGAACTGATCCAGAAATACTTCGTGTCACCAACACTGTTCCGTGTGATCCGCCTGGCACGGATTGGGCGCATCCTACGGCTGATCCGTGGGGCCAAGGGCATCCGGACGCTGCTTTTTGCCCTCATGATGTCACTTCCTGCCCTCTTCAACATCGGTCTCCTCCTCTTCCTGGTCATGTTCATCTACTCCATCTTCGGCATGTCCAACTTTGCCTATGTCAAGAAGGAGTCAGGCATCGATGACATGTTCAACTTTGAGACCTTTGGCAACAGCATCATCTGCCTCTTTGAGATCACCACATCAGCTGGCTGGGATGGGCTTCTGAACCCCATCCTAAACAGTGGGCCCCCTGACTGTGACCCCATGCTGGAGAACCCAGGCTCCAGTGTCAGAGGTGACTGTGGCAATCCCTCCATTGGCATCTGCTTCTTCTGCAGCTACATCATCATCTCCTTCCTCATCGTAGTCAACATGTACATTGCCATCATCCTGGAGAACTTCAACGTGGCCACTGAAGAGAGCAGCGAGCCCCTCTGTGAGGACGACTTCGAGATGTTCTATGAGACATGGGAGAAGTTTGACCCTGAAGCTACACAGTTCATTGACTACAGCCGCCTCTCCGATTTCGTGAACACCCTGCAGGAGCCACTGAGGATCAGCAAGCCCAACAAGATCAAACTCATCACACTGGACCTGCCCATGGTGCCAGGGGACAAGATCCACTGCCTGGACATCCTCTTTGCCCTGACTAAAGAGGTCCTGGGGGACTCTGGGGAAATGGATGCCCTCAAACAGACCATGGAGGAGAAGTTCATGGCAGCCAACCCCTCCAAGGTATCCTACGAGCCCATCACCACCACCCTCAAGAGGAAGCATGAGGAGGTGTGTGCCATCAAGATCCAGAGGGCCTACCGCCGACATCTGCTCCAGCGCTCTATGAAGCAGGCATCCTACATGTATCGCCACAGCCAGGATAGCAATGGGGAGGGGGTCCCAGAGAAGGAGGGGCTGATCGCCAACACCATGAGCCAGATGTATGGCCAGGAGAACGGGAACAGCAGTGTGCAAAGCAAGGGTGAGAAGAAGCCCTCAACAGAGGATGCTGGACCTGCCGTGGGACTCACACCCATTGGCCCTTCAAACGCTGCCCTCCCTCCCTTCCAACCATCGAGGCAGACAGTGCGCCCAGGGGTCAAAGAGTCTCTTGTCTAGCAGGCAGCAGAAGTGGACAGCTGAGCCTTGGCACAGTCCCACAAGCTACCCATGCTGCCTGCATGCTGAAGGAGCCGGGCTTTGAGTCTGGGACCCCCTCTTGGGGAACAAGATTTGGCCATGCTGAGGCTGACCCCCAGGCCTGAGCACCTGCCCCCTCCCCCCAGGCCATGGGAAATGGAATTGCTTTCAGGGGCTCCATGCTGGGCCTGAGGCCCCTGGCGCCATGACTTTGCCTTCAAGTTGCTCTAACCTCCTCATGGACCTTGCACCCCTCGTCTTGGCCAGGAGGGAGGTTAGAACATCAGATTCTGTGCCCTCAACTTGGGGAGGAGCTCGCCTACGCTGGAGGGATTGGCTACCCTCCTTTCTCCAGAGTCTTAAGGGCTACTGCCTCTCCCCATAAAGTGGCTCAGGCTCCCCAACCCCATCCCAGACAAAGATGTCTTAACCCCAGGGTGCTGCCAGAGGTACAGCTTCCCTCTGCCCGCTCAGGGGTTCCCTGGAAAAAAGAGAAATGTCACTGGTCCAGAAATGGCTCCACAACCTGATTGACCACTGGATCCTGATGCATCGGGCTGGGATTATGGCCCCTAAAACCCTTTCTCGGGCCTTGTCCAGTCCCATGGCTCCCCTGGCTGGCCCCTAGGGGAAGAGCAGAAGGAAGGGTTCCACTTGGCAATTGTCTTTTTCTAGGAAGTATGGATGGGTGGTACAGACTGGGTCCTCCCAGCTGTATGGCTGCTCTGGGGGCTCTTTTTGGCCTGAGCATCCACATCTGGGGAGGGGTCGGGGACCTTGACACTCGGTAAGAAGATTCTTGTTCCTTCTCTCCGTTCCTCACTCCTCCGTTAGCGCCACCGGGGTTCCTTGAAGCCCCATCACGCCTTCAGAGATCTCCTCCTTCTATCTCTCCCCACACCCATCTTTTCCTCCCCCCTCATCCTTTTTTTCCTCTCCTTAAAGTGATCCTAAGAATGTTCTGATTGAGCTCATGTTAGAGATTTTGACACTGGGACATGCCGCAGGAAAATCCCACCTGGCTTAGGCTCAACCTTGCCATTTCCTGCTGCCTGGGAAGCCACACAGCACTTCTGCTGGCCCCACTGATCTGGTATGGCAGGGCCAGGTTTCTGCTGGCTTCTGGAAAACAGACAAAAGCTGAGCTTGAAGGAGAGACTGAGAGATCTGCTCAGGCATTGCTGGATTTATTCACTTGTGTGTGCACCTGTGTGGCCTCTGTCTGTATGTCTCTGTGTGTACCTATAGTTGTGTGTGTTCAAGTATGTGAGTATATGTGTGTGTGAGCCACTGTGTACCATGAAGCCTGCATATGTGTGAGTGTATGGGTATATTAGTGCATATATGTGTCATTGTGTTCTTATAGTGTCTGAAGGTCCCTTTGTGAATGCAAGCTGGTGTATGTGTCCTCTGTGCAGGCCTGTTTGTGTGAGTATAACTGTATGTGTGAGTATGAGCCTATGCCATGAGTGTGTGTATGGGCACTTTTGTGTATATGTGTGTCATTGTGTTCCTATAGTGTATGAAGGTCCTTGTGTGAGTGCAGGCTGGTGTGTGTGTGTGTGTGTGTGTGTGTGTGTGTGTACTCTGCTCAGGCTTGTTTGAGTGTGCCTGTTTGTGTGTATGTGAGCCTGTGCCATGAGTGAGTGTATGGGCATATTTGTGTATATGTGTGTCATTGTGCCCCCATAATGTCTGAAGTTCCCTGTATGAGTACAGGCTGGTGTGTGTGTGTCCTCTGTGCAAGTCTGTTCAAGTGAGTGTGCCTAAATGTGTGAGCCTGTGCCATGAGTGTGTGGATGGGTATGAGCACATGTGGTATGATTTGTACTTTGAGTCCCATGTTAGCTTAAGTTCCTCTTCTTTTTCTTCTTGTTTCTCGTGAACGTTTTGATTAAAACTCAGGAAATAGCAAAACCTTCAAAACAAGATGTGCGTGTGTTTATATGTACACACGCCCATAGGCCCACTCTCTCACCTCCTTTCCAACCTGCCTGGGCGTCCCTCCCTCTCACTCCCTGTGGATGCCATCTTTCTCCTTTCTCTGTTTCTCTTCATCACACCCATTGCCCCAGCCCAGCTCTCCATCTCCTGCCTGTGTCTCCTGCATGGAAAGAGGCCTCAACTCTTTCCATCTCTACTTGCAGTGATTCTGTCTCTTCCTTCAGAAGGTTCATCCAATTGGGCTCAGCCTCCCCCCTGCCCAGCACCCTGCCTCTCTGCCTTTTCCTCCTGGGCCCCGAAATGACATGGCCCCAAGAGAAATCTCTTGGGACATCTCTTGGACTGAACCTTCTTCACCGGACTGTGCCAACTGCAGAGGAAGAGTGGATGAGCAGGGTCCAGATCTCCCCCTGCCCATGGCCCCTCCCCTGCAGATCCACACCTGTTCCTGCCAGGCCAGCAGACAGGCTCCTTTGTACAGTTCTTACAATAAACCCTTCCCTGGTGCCTGACATGTGGGCTTCTCCCTTCCGTGCCTGTGCATGTGGGCATCGACGGGGTCTGAGGACAGCAAGAAGGAAAGAGAGGCTGGTGGGGATTGGAGCTAAGTGGGGAAGACTTGGGGGAGCCTCCTAATGGGTTGGGAGGGCATGATAAGGAGAACCCCAAAACCTGCTATGGCTCAGCCTGGCTCTCTCCTACCCCTCTACAAAAGCCTCTTAGCTGGAAACCAAGAGGCCAGATGGAGTCGGGGGTCATGCCCCTCCTCCCCCAACAGGCAGCATCATACTCCCCCTTCCCACCCATGATAGCACCCAGGAAACATGTTGTAGGGACCCTTGCTCCCAGCCCCTCCTTTCCAGGAGCCCTCTCCCTCTCCCTCAGAGACCTCAAGGTGCCTATGGGGCACCCTCTATGGTCCCTCTCTCCCCTCCGAAGTATCGTCTCCCCCTCCCACGTTGCCTCTGACCTATGGCCCCAGAGAGCCCAAAGTCACATGGACCTGTGACAAAGAGTATTATAGAGTATTATTATATTTTATATAGAGTATTATATAGTATTTTATGTATTATAAAATTTATATTTTATATCATATAGTATTATTGTATATGTAACATATAATATATAAATACATTATATTTATATTATTATATTTTATATAAAGTATTATATAGTGTTTTACATAAAGTAAAATTATATTTCACCCACACTGAGTTGGCTCCAGTGTGGCATGGCTACCCAGGGTGAGTGAAATATAATTTTATACATCATTTTATTTTCTATAACTTGATTTCTGGCTTCCAGGTCTGTATTGTTTTAAACAAGTAAATAGTCTTTTTCTGGATTCCTGCACCCCCTTCTCCAGGCACCCGAGGTTACATAGCACCACATGGGGCACGGAGAGGGACACTCACTGGGCCTTGGTCCACATGCTGGCCTGAGATGTCCCTCAGCCTTGTCCCTGTGGCCCCTTCCCACCTTGCAGTTCTCTTTGCATGTTGGTGGTGGGGCAGGGGGGATTGGGATCCCTGTGGGGCTTTCTGAGTCCACCACCAGGGGCAGCTGTCTCTGCTCAGGGTGCCAACCTCCCTCTCTGGGTAGAGGACGCCTCCTCCAAACCTCACCAGGGCCCTCTCTGGCCCTGAGGGCAGGAAGATTTCCAGGGTGCCCCGGCCCATCCTTCCCCTGAGCCTCCAATGGTAGACAACAATAAGGCAAAACACTGAGCGAGAAACAAAGAGCATAGCCCAACCCCCTCCCCCACCCCCGCAGTGACCGATGGGCTCGCCGCTTTACTGAGAGTGGCCTGTGCTTCCAGATACTTCGCCAAGTGCTTTCTCCACTTGATTTCAGTTAATGCTCACAACCACCCTAGGTAGGACGTAGTATCATGATTTTTTCTATTTTACAGAAACGAGGAAACTTGGTTTCTCAGAGGTTGAGAGTGGATGTTGCTTAATTGGGGTGCTGTTGGCCTTTGGGGCAGGAAAATTCTTTGTCTTGTGTGACACTGTCCCTCACATGACAGGACCTTTAGTACCCCAGGCCCACAAATGTCAGGGGTCCCACTGGTCATTGCAACCATCACAACTGCCCTCACGTATTTCTAAATGCTTCTGGGGGTTGGGGGTGGGGTGCAGCGGAGCAGGACCACCCCTGGTTGAGAACCTCTGGGTAATCTGGGGAGGCTTTCCAGCTGGTACACCACAGTGTCAGGATTCGAGCCCACGTCCTTCTTAGCCAGCAGGCCTCCTCCCCTAACAGCAAGCCCAGGCAGACGCAGTAAGGCTGGACTGGGGAGAGGCCAGAGATCCAAGCCCTTTGTCCCCTGCTCTTCTTCCCCTCCTCTCCTTCCCAGAGCTTCCGGGGGGCCCCACCTTCTTGCTTCCCCAGGACCCCTGAGCCTCTTGTCCCCTCCCCCTTAACCCCCATCTCTTTTTTTGACGCTGCCTTCCTGGAATGGTAGGTAGGGTGGTGCCAGTTGTCAAGGTGTGTGGCCCAGGGCAGCCGGGGCAGAGTCGGGGGTAGGCTTACGATGCCTCCTGTTCAGGATAAGGAAAGGAAAGGGCGTCAGAGCCCGGGGTCCAGCTCATTGTTGTTGTCACCAGGGAGGGAACATTGCGGCCCAACTGTGATAAATAACCCTACCAGCAACGGCCCCACTGCCCCCCACCCCTCCTGAAAACGGATCCCTGCCAGCATGAATGGGAATGAGGTCCAAAGGACACATCTGCATCCCTGCCCACGGCAACGCTCATGTGCGTGTTTGGAAGATGCCAGTCACCCCACCTCTGTGCCCCTCACTGTCACCCTGGGCCCCAGGACAGCCTGCTGAGTAGCCCCTGAGCCACACAGCCGGGAAACACACAAGTGCGTGCAGACACGTGAGTGCACGTTCACGCATACAAACACATGTGCCTGAGCCTTCCCCAACCACCCTACCAATTTTGTGGGGCCACTGAGTCCAAAGATAACCAAGGCCTCCATCACAGGGACTTGGGAGGGGTAGAGTTTGCTAAGGAAGAGACCCCTGGATTTTGCCCCCTCCTGGGGGACCTCATCTCTCTCTCTCACCCCTTCCAGCCCCAGGGGCCTCTTGGTCCCCAGCGGACCTCAGGTGATGTTTATATTCCTGGGTTGTTTGTTCTGTGAGCTGAACATCTGACACATTTTCAGAGAAATGTTTTTTTCATCTGGAACATCTGGAAACAAGCAAGAACATCTGGGACTGCCTGCCTGGAACGGGTTGCTCCTCAGATGAAACCTTAACCCTCCCGTCCCCAAATTTGAGAGTTCAGGTCCTGGCCTTTGCCCATCCTACCCTACCAGGTGAGGCCCATGGCCAGGCTGAGAGGGGAGAGCGTGCCCCCAGCAACCAGGACCCTCACCTTCCTCACCGCCCATAAGTGAGGATTAGCATCTCTTCTCTCCGGGGGCTCCGGGGAAGAAAGAGAGTAAGAGAACAAGAGAGAAAAGAGGTTCTAGGAGACGTAAGACTCCGAGTGGGCTTGGCTGTGGGCCTGGGGTTTGCCAGGTGTGGTTGTGCAGGGTGTGTGCCCTACACAAGGGCATCCACCAAGAGGCAAAGGGTATGTCTGGCCAGGAGGCAGGAGCACAAAGCTGAGCTTGGAAGAACTCCTGAAGGCTAGGGGTCCATCCACTTTCCCTCCCCGCTGACTGACAGGATAAAGCCAGTGAGTCTTTTCTTTCTGAACCTGAGGGCTCCTCTACACTAGCCTCCTGTTTCCTGCCCAAGACCTCCTGGAGCTGTGGACAGCACTTCAGAGATCTTGGAGCCTGGCCGTTAAGAACTCTGTGAAGAACCCCCCGGATTGCCGAGTGCTAGGTTTTCTCTAAGATGTCTCCATCTGGGTCCAACCCCTTTGGCAGACCCCAGCCAGCTCTCCCCCTACACGAAGAAGAGGGGGCCTCTGTCCAGGGCCTGGATCAAATCTTCTCACAAGTGGCTGCCACACTTGGCCTGCTCTTGCTCAAGAACCTCCCTGGCTCCCTCCATCAACTCCCAACATGGCCACCTGCACTGAAGCCAAGCGGCTCTGCTCTGGGCCCCTCTAGGTGCCTAGCCTGGGTCCGTGACTACCCACTCTCCCACCCCAGAATGGCCCTTCTTCATTGGTCCTTCCTCAGTGTTTCTTCTCCCAAAGAGTGTGGGCTGGTCCAGGACAGGAAGGGCTTCCCTTGCCTTGCCTTTATTAATGGACCTGTGTGCATTTAGCTAAGTGCCAGGCCCTGAGCTGTGTGCAGGAATAAATTAGGGATTCAAAAGTCTTCCAGAGGCTTGTAGACTGCAGGATGGACGGCTCTGAGGCCCAGGAGGTGACCAGCAGCAGGATGGGGAGCATGGGGAGGGAAGCACAAGCTGCCCTCAGAGTCCCCACCCCAGGAGCACCCACCTTGGGCTCCAGTTGTGGTGCCCAAGCCAGGTGACCTTCAAGCCTTAGCAGCCCAGCTGAGAAGAAAGCCCGCCCACCCCCAGCCCCCAGAGAGCGGGTACCTCCCCTGGGTCCCGATTTGCATGGCAGGAAGGGGCCTGCTGGAGAGAGGCGAGGAGGGGATAGGTTACAGCCGGGCAGTTCCACGTTTCCCCCCAGGCGCCTCGGACGTCGTCTCGGGGCTGGGGTCAGGACAGAGCGGTGACCATGGCTGGGCTGGTGCTGTCCCCCGTGCTCAGCAACTGTCTGGTGGTGCTGCTGCTGCTGCTTTCAGGTACGCCCGCCCTACGACACAACCTGCTGCTCTCCGCTGGTTCTGCCCCCTACTCTCCCCGCTCTCTGCCTCCTGTCTCCCTCTGACAGAAGGGAGCCTGCGGCCTGGGTCTGCAGTGCCAGCCATCTTTCCGGGCTCAGGGGTCTCCTGCCTGGAGGAGGACCCAGGTGCAGGGTTATGGGTGTGGAAGAGCTAGGCCCAGGGCGTGCACCCCACAGAGAAGGGGAAAGCCGAGGAGAGGCGCGGTTCAACCCCAAGTCCCTGGGGTGTGCGCTATGGAGGCAGGGGAGAGGCTTGTTGTAGAAAGGGTCTCCTCATCTGGAAGATGGAGAACCCTCCCACTGTGACTTCCCTCCTCTCTTGTCACAGAACCTGCTCAAAGCCACCCTACTGGTCACAGGAAGAGGGAGCGGGAGGCAGGTCTCATGGTGCCCCCTACTCCTATCTCCACAGTACAGGGCTCAGGGAGGGCTGACGGGTCTGGAAGCTGCTGCTCTGGAAGAAGGAAGTGGGTCCGGGAATGTGGAGGGTGCGCAGGGGTGGGGCAGCAGCTTAATGGGGGGAGCCTGACCTGGCGCCGCCCACTTCCTCCCTCCCTCTCCAGCAGGTAAAACGGTGCCCACAACCAAAGCAGACGAGACCTCGAATTCCTCAGGTTAGCAACCTTACCTACTCCTTCTTGTTAGTCTGTCCAGTGCAGGTCACTGTCCCGTGGGCTGTCCCATTGCCGCCTCTTGTCCTGGCCTTGCCTGGGTCTCCCGGCCCCAATCTCATTAGGGTCGCCCTCTCCCCCTTGTCCCCACCCCCGGCCAGCTCTCATCCTCGTTAGACACAGCACTCAGTCCCAGAAATGGAGGTGCTAAACCCCAGAGCAGGGAGCCAGAGGGAACTCCCTGACCAAAGAGTCAGGCCTGGGTCTGTCTGGTGGGGGGAGTTGGGCTCAGCCTCAGAAAGAGCCAGAAACCTTAGAGGTGGGGTTTGCCACGTGAGGGGCTCAGGGATTCCAGGGGGTGGCTCCCTGGGGCGGAGGCAGGAGCAAGGCTTCCCGGAGGAGGTGGGAAGGGGCAGCCTAGAGCACGTTACAGGGGTGGAAAGGGCATTTCAAACTGAGAAAGAGGGTTCCTGGAACAAAAGGTGGAGCGGGTCATGCAGGAGGGGCGAGGGAGATGATAGCAGAATGGCAGGCAGCAGGTAGATTGTGGAGGGGCCTCAACCGCCAGGTGAGGGGTTTGGCCTGTATCCACTGGAGGTAGGGGGCACTGAAAATTTCAGAGCAGGGACTGGCAGGACGGGGCACTAGGCAAGGCCGCCTGGAGGACAGAGGGAAAGCAGGAGGCACAAGGCTGTCAGAGGTTGTCTTATAGGCCTCCCATGCCCTGGGAGTGAGGATTGGAGGCTGTCCTGTGGCCCCCATGCCCTGGGGTGAGGCCTGGAGGCTGTCCTATAGGCCTCCCATGCCCTGGGAGTGAGGTCTGGAGGCTGTCCTATAGGCCTCCCATGCCCTGGGGTGAGGCCTGGAGACTGTCCTGTGGCCCCCATGCCCTGGGGTGAGGCCTGGAGGCTGTCCTGTGGCCCCATACCCTGGGGGTGAGGCCTGGAGGCTGTCCTGTGGGCCCCAAGCCCTGGGGGTGAGGCCTGGAGGCTGTCCTGTGGGCCCCAAGCCCTGGGGGTGAGGCCTGGAGGCTGTCCTGTGGGCCCCATGCCCTGGGGGTGAGGCCTGGAGGCTGTCCTGTGGCCCCATACCCTGGGGGTGAGGCCTGGAGGCTGTCCTGCGGGCCCCAAGCCCTGGGGTGAGGCCTGGAGGCTGTCCTGTGGGCCCCATGCCCTGGGGTGAGGCCTGGAGGCTGTCCTATGGCCCCATACCCTGGGGGTGAGGCCTGGAGGCTGTCCTGTGGCCCCATACCTTGGGAGGAGGTCTGGAGGCTGTCCTATGGCCCCATACCCTGGGGTGAGGTCTGGAGGCTGTCCTGTGGCCCCCATACCCTGGGGGTGAGGTCTGGAGGCTGTCCTGTGAGCCCCATGCCCTGGGGTGAGGCCTAGAGCCAGTGCTGTGTAGAGAATGGAAAGGAATGGGATGGTTCAAGAGCCCTTCTAAAGGAAAATTAAATAGGTAGAGGGGTGTCAGGAAGGGGTGGTTGGTGGTTTGGCCTGTGGCCTCTCATGTGGCTCAATTCCCCACATTGCTTTGCCTCCTGCCTGTCCCACACGCTGTATCTGAAAAGGAAGGACAGAGAGGGGGCTGAGTGGGGCGTCAGTGCACCCAGGCGGGGGCTGAGGTCTGGGCAATCAGGAAGATGCTGAGCAGGATTTTGAGCCTGGCCTTGGTGTCCACAGGAGGGTCTTGCTCCCGGGTCTGGCAGAGCCCACGTTTTGTGGCCCGGAAACGGGGCCTCGTGGTGGAGGTGAAATGCCACACAAACAGCTCAAACACTGTGAAATGGTTGCGGAGGCGAGAGAAGGAGAAGGAGCCCCAGCCACTGCATCTGGATCAGATCCACTTGCTGCAGACCCAGAACAACACCGTCTTCACCCTTACCATCCGAGACATCCAGTTTGAGGACAACGGCATCTACTTCTGCGCTCAGGAGTGCTCCGAGATCTTAATTCAGGGCTGCGGCACCGAGCTTCGGGTCATGGGTGGGTCATGGGCCGGCCTGTCCTTCAACCTGGGAGGGGAACAGAGGCAGACGGGCCTGGGACGGCACCATGGGCTGTTCATCTATCATCCACCCCCCCACACCCCAGCCCAGCCTGCCCTGCCTGTCCCTGCTGCCCCCCAGTGGGAGGGGCCAGACTGTGGAGGTGGCTGTGGCCCTCAGAGGCCCCAAGAGAGACGCTGGGAAGGAGGTCCTGAGGGGCGCACCAGGTCACCCCCACTGCAGACCTGAAGGGCGGGAACCCCCAAGGACCTGCACTCCAGCCTCACCTCCCCGGCCCGCCCGCCTCCCCCAGGGTTCAGCACCTTGGGCCAGCTGAAGCGACGGAACACACTGAAAGACGGTATCATCATGATCCAGACCCTGCTTATCATCCTCTTCATCATTGTGCCCGTCTTCCTGCTGCTGGACAAGGTGACCACGGGGCTGGGGCACCATGGGGGACCAGAGAGGAGGCCACAGGGTCTCATCGCCCCAGCCCTGTCACTGCCCAACCCCAGAGCCTGCCAATTTGTCACCCACTCCATCATGCGTTCATTCATTCAGCTGCCTGTGCACTTATTCATTCTTTCAACAAGTGTATGATGGTGACTTCTGCAGCCTGGATGCCATGACAGGCTGCATTTACAGTGATAACTCAGCATGGTCTCAGTTCTTGCTGGGTCGGTGCACCTCACCTTAACCCCTGACTTCTGACTGCTCACCCCTGGCCCATCTCCCTAGCTCTCCCCGGGCCTGGCCCAGCAGCAGATGGGATTGGGGGAGGCTAAGTCTCTGACCCCCACCCCATTCTGCCCCCACCAGGATGACAGTAAGGCTGGGATGGAAGATGATCACACCTATGAGGTAAGGAGCAGGTTTCGAGGATGGACCCAGCCCCTGTGTGGCCCAGTGGTCAGCGGTCACCTCCTGTTGGTGTGGTCAGGCATGTGACTGACATCTGAGCTCCATCCCATGTCTCCAGGGCCTGAACATTGACCAGACAGCCACCTACGAGGACATAGTGACTCTGCGGACAGGAGAAGTGAAGTGGTCAGTGGGTGAGCATCCAGGCCAGGAGTGAGGGGCCGGCCCTCCCCACACCCCTGGGCACAGCCTCCTGGGTCCTCCATTGACTTCCTCAGACCTGCCTGGCTCCCAGCCTGCCCTCTTCCCTGAATCGCCCATCAGCCTCCAAAGCTGGCCTGCCAGACCCTCCTCCCACTCCAACCCCTGGTCCTCAACTGTCCCGGAAGGGCCTGGATTGGAAGGGCCACAAGGCAGTGATATGGAGCAGAAGCTCTCAGGATAAACTGGACCAGACTTCTGGGGTGCTATTGGGTTCCAGGTCATGTTTGGGATGGGGAAGGCAGAGACTTGTCTGGAACTTGCAAATGGACTCAGAGCAGACCAGCTCCCTGAGGAGCCTGGCAAGGGCCATGACCCCCAACTCGGCCCCAGATGGGCCACCAAGAGCTGTGTCCCTGTCTCCCAGTGCCTCCCACCCAGGGCCTCCTAGGCCTCAAACCCATTATACCATGGAATAAACAATGTACCTTGAGAAACCACGCACAGACTTGTGACATCTTATGGCTATGGGGTGGAGGGGAGTGTGTGAATGTGAGCACCCATGGGCCTGAAGGGGCATAGGAGGGGTTGGCTGCTAAGAGCTCGTGGCCCTCTCCTGGGTCCACAGCTCCTCTCTGAAGACCCAGCTGGGTCCTGTGGTCACATTCCTCTCGTCCCCTTAGCTGAGCCTACAGCAGCTTGAGAAAGAGTGATTTGACCAGCCCATCCCCTCAGCAGGGATGCCCTGACCCTGTGTCCATTTAACCTACATGCAACAATAGAGTCCTGCTCTCTAGAGCCCTGGAGGCCCTCCTCCACTTTCCTTTTACCTGTCCCAATCCTGCTGTCCTTCAAGGCCCTCCACCTACAGGAAGCCCTCCTGAAGCACCCCAGAGCCTACCCAAGCCCTGTTCAGACCAGTCCCTGTCTCCCTGGCTTAGCCTCTTCTTCCTGCAGTGCTCACCACTCCCTACATGCTGGCCTTGATTCTCCAGTTGAACTGGAAGCTCCCTGAGGCTGGGAGCTTCCCTGCCTCTACCCCATACCCTGCCCCCACCCCCGATCAAGTCTGGGACTTATTTATTTTTTTAAGTATGATCCAGAGCCCTGCAAGAGACAGATTATCCTAAAGAGGGAGACTTTGTGGGGGTGAAGTCTGGGGGCTCCTTAGTCAGGTGACCCCTTCAGACTTTCCCAACATCACATTGGAGGGCCCATAGGGCCCCAGAGCACCCACAAATGGTCCCTAGGGCCCTACAAATTCGGGCCCCAACCAGCCAGCCATGGGGGTTGCTGGGAGCGGCTCACAGCTGGGAGCACAAATGCAATTAACCTCTGTGTATAAAGCCCGCTTGAGCCAGGCTGCCTCCACTTCCCGCTGACCTTTGGGGGACCCCGAAAAGCCTCTCTGCTTTTAGTGTTCTGGATTCCTTAAATCACCTTTAACCAGACTTCCCCTGGCAGGGAGTGTTGGGCAGGTGGGCCAGACCCCCAGCTGTGGGGTTTCAGGGTGATCCCTCCCTCATTCAGGGGTGCCAACGCTGCGTCCCCTGCTCGGGGCTGCCAGAGGGAACTGGCTTGTTTTGGCATCTGCCTCCACTGAGCTGGAGCCCTTCCTTTCCTGCTGCTTTGCATAGTGGCGCTAATTCTGTCCTCCTACCTCCACTAGGGGCCCTGGGCCACAGGGTCGGGGTGGGTGGGGGGAGTCTTCACGTCTCCCCCCAAGCAGGGTCTCCCCTTATTTGGGCTGCCCTGGGTCAGGGGTGGCCTTGGTTTTACGGAAAGACTCATTTATTAATATCTTTGAATAACTAGGTTTCTCTAACGCTTTGAAGTATTTACGGACAGAGAGTAATTTGAACAGCTAGGCCTGCCCCTCTCTATCCTACTCCCCCAAAGGGCATGTGACTTCAGGGACTTATGATATAGAAGCCCCCCTGGTCCATTTTGTTGTTCTAGGGCCTTACACTGTATGTGTCGTCATGTCTGTCTCGCAGGCCACTGGCCTGAGACTGAGCTGAGGCAGTGGAAACAAAGCTGGTTGAGGACGGTGGGATGATGAATGTCTTGGGCCTCAGTTGCCTTATCTGTAAAATGGGAGTCATAAAACTTGTCTGAGGGTAGGGAGTGGAACCAGATGATTTTTTTTTTTTATATCATGTAGTAAAATTACTTTTTCTTTTGGTGTACAGTTCTATTAATTTTAGCACATGTATAGATTTGTATAACCACCACCACAATCAGGACACGGAACATGAACAAAATGCTTTTGTCGGCCACAACAAATATTTATTGAGCACTTCTTCAATGCCAATAAAAATGGATTGAGCACTTCCAGATTCATTTACATCATCTTGCCTAAGCCCCAGCAAAACCCCGGAAGGGGCTGGCACTATCCTCACTTTAGAGATGGGGAAAAAGGAGGCTCAGGGAGGCCACCATGACTGGCCAAAACTCACACACAGATCTTCTGACTTCAAATCCAGCATTCTTTCCATGACATCACAGCTGCCTCTCTTGAAGGGCTTTGCAGTAATAGGACTTTGAACCAGAGAAGGAGGAGGAAGAGAAAGAAGAGAGAGAGGAAGAGAGAGAGGGAGAGGAGGAGGAGGAAGGCAGGGAATCCTGGGACAGTTTTGGCCACCTTCAAAGATTTGTGTTTTGAAGAAATTTGCTCTTCCCCTTGCTCACAAGTTCCAAAGCCTTGGGGACACCTCCCCTCCTACCAGGGCCTGAATGGGTGCCCTGAGCACCCAGGAGAGTCAGGCCCCTGGGCACCCTTCCAGGAGCCCAGCCCTGGGGCCACTCTCCTGCCACTCCCCCCACCCCCCACCCAGAGCACAGCGCCGAGGCCCCCTGCCCACTGGGGGAATCCAGCCAGGTCCCCCGGGGCAGTGGTTTAAGCACAGGCTTGTTCCTCCTCCATTCTAGCTTGACTTCCGGCCCACTGGCTGCAGGTGCTGCTAGGGCTGGGGCGATCTGACCCGAGGGTTTGGGTGTTTTTCCAGAAAAATGATAGGTGAGAGAAAAACGAAAGAAAACACAAAAAGCTGCTGCCGTTCGGTGTCACAGGCAGAAAGCGTTTGTCCCTTAGTAGGGGGCTGGCCTGGCCGGGTCTTCTGCGCTGGTCTTCAAAGGCCATCTCGGAACCTCGTGTCTGGGATCCCCCGCTTCGGTCCACGCGCGCTCAGCTCTCTTTATTCCACCTCAACAGCTGGATCCAGAGCCTGCATCTGTGGCATTCCCAGAGCGTGCCAGGTCCCCAACCTGCTCCTGAGTCTGGCAGGTTGATTCGATTGCAAACAACAACAAACCTTCCTCTTGTGACACGCCAGCTGTGTCGCCCCACCTCAAAACCCTTTATTTGGAAACTTAGGTGACTACCGAGAGCAAAGCTGAATGAGCGTTAAATCCTGAATTCAATCAGACTATGGTTTGTCAAAAACATATTTAGACCGACCCTAATGCAGTTTTTAAAAAATGGTATTTTTCTCAGACCTCTAACCACTTTCTCCATGTGGCTGAAGGGAGGGAGAGCAGACAGCCCTTGAGATCCCACTTCCGGCCCAGGTCCTGCCACGTCCTGAGTTGGCACAGAATGTGCGTGCGCACTGGGAATCAGCCTACGCACACTGCTTGTTCTACTTTGTTCATAGACAGTGGAACCTGCGAGAGCCGGAACTCAACAGGACTGCCTTGTTTTTCTGGGTCTGAAAGTTTTCTGCCTTTGACAGGGTGCGGTCTTACCACTTTTCTATCGCTGTCTGTTAGTGGAAAGTATTTGAATTTTCCTTCTCTGACAGTTTTCTGCCTTACACAATTTCCGTCTTTTGCAGGTTTTACTGTAACTCTTTTCATGTACATATTGCCATGCATTGCGAGTTTCTGTACTTGCTATTTTGTTATAATTTATTTTACTTTTGTTGTTGTTCCTGTTGAGAATACACCCCAATTCAACAGTTTCTACATGTACAATTCAGTGACATTGATTACACTCTTCGAGTTGTGCAACCATTCTCACCCTCCTTTTCTGAGTTGTTCATTAATATAAACTCGCCACTCCACAAGTTTCCTGTCTCATCCTTTGAGTTGCTGTTGCCAATTTGATCCCATATAGATAGCTGTTAAAGGAGCACAATGCTCAAGGCAGACACTCTTTACTAGTTAAGCCAAACTATTGTTTGGTTTTAAGAAGACTTCAGGGGATGTTTTTGGTTTAAGGTTTAAAGATGATCTCTGTGTACTCTCATAATTGTAAAATAACTATCCATCATGCTTGGTAAGGTAGAGGGTTAGTGAAAAAGAAGAAGACCCTCAACGAGATGAATTGACACAATGGGCTCAAACATAGCAACAGTAGTGAGGGTGGCGCAGGACCGAGCAGCAGTTCGTTCTGTTGTACATACGGTCACTATGATTTGGAACTGACTCGACGGCACCTAACACCAATGGGAGGACATCGAGACACAACATGACCTGCAATTCCCAGCTGGTTGCGTATTTCAGTTCTTCCCTTATGTTGCCCTTCCGTTCGTCTAGTCCACTCAGCAGACACGTATTGCGTTGCTGGGCTGGCTCCCCCCTCTATAGCTGAGGTGTTTCCTTCAGGGCCGTTTTCATAATTCGAAATTACTGCATATGTTGTTGTTGCTGGGTGCTGGTGAGTAGATTTCAATTCATGGCAACCCCACGTGTGACAGAGTAGAACTGCGCCATAGGGTTTTCTTGGCTGTGATCTTTATGGAAACAAATCAACAGGTCTTTCTCCCACAGAGTCGCTTCGTGGGTTCAAATCGCCAACCTTTTGGTTAGCAGCCAAGTGCTTAACCATTGCACCACTGCATACTTTACTATTACATATTAATTTGTTTGCTGTCGTCTCTCTCCCCAGTAGACTGTAAGCTCCAGAAGAGAAGGCATCACGTCTTTTGTTGATCTAGGTACACTATCTGCCTGGTACAATGTCTAATATAATATGGGGTAACAGCTACTTGGCTGGGTAAGTTAATTCCTGAATAAGTAAATGTGTGAATGAATGAGTAGATGAAAGGCATCAATCTAGCCTCAATGAGCTTCCACAAATAACCATAAACAAACCAGACTCCATCGAGTCAATTTCAACTCATTATAACCCCATGTGTGTTAGAGTACGACTGGGTTTTCAATGGCTGCTTTTTCAGAAGTAGATCACCAGGCCTTTCTTCCGAGGCATCTCTGGGTGGACTTGAACCTTCAACCTTTCAATTAGAAGCTGAGCGCATGAACAGTTTGTTCCATCCAGACTGTCTTAGTTATCCAGTGCTACTATAACAGAAACACCACAAGCGGGTGGCTTTAACAAACAGAAATTTATTTTCTCACAGTTTAGGAGACTAGAAGTCCTAATTCAGGGTGCTGGTTATAGGGAAAGGCTTTCTCTCTCTGTCAGCTCTGGAGGAAGGTCCTTGTCTCCGAGCTTCTGCTCCTGGGTGATCTTCATGTGGCTTGGC